AGGGGCAACAAGAGGCATGACCAGGGGCAACAAGAGGCATGACCAGAGGCAACAAGAGGCATGACCAGAGGGAACAACAGGCATGACCAGAGGGAACAACAGGCATGACCAGAGGGAACAAGAGGCATGACCAGAGGCAACAAGAGGCATGACCAGAGGCAACAAGAGGCATGACCAGAGGCAACAAGAGGCATGACCAGGGGCAACAAGAGGCCAACAGGCATGACCAGAGGGAACAACAGGCATGACCAGGGGCAACAAGAGGCATGACCAGAGGCAACAACAGGCATGACCAGGGGCAACAAAAGGCCAAAATGCATGACCAGGGGCAACAAGAGGCATGACCAGGGGCAACAAGAGGCATGACCAGAGGCAACAAGAAGCATGACTAGAGGCAACAAGAGGCATGACCAGAGGGAACAACAGGCATGACCAGAAGCAACAAGAGGCCAACAGGCATGCCCAGGGGCAACAAGAGGCATGACCAGAGGCAACAAGAGGCATGACAAGGGGCAACAAGAGGCCAACAGGCATGACCAGGGGCAACAAGAGTCCAACAGGCATGACCAGAGGTAACAGGAGGCCAACAGGCATGACCAGAGGCAACAGGAGGCCAACAGGCATGACCAGGGGCAACAGGAGGCCAACAGGCATGACCAGAGGCAACAGGAGGCCAACAGGCATGACCAGGGGCAACAAGAGGCATGACCAGGGGCAACAAGAGGCATGACCAGAGGCAACAAGAGGCATGACAAGGGGCAACAAGAGTCCAACAGGCATGACCAGAGGTAACAGGAGGCCAAGAGGCATGACCAGAGGCAACAGGAGGCCAACAGGCATGACCAGGGGCAACAGGAGGCCAACTGGCATGACCAGAGGCAACAGGAGGCCAACAGGCATGACCAGGGGCAACAAGACTCTAACAGGCATGACCAGAGGAAACAACAGGCATAACCAGAGGCAACAACAGGCCAACAGGCATGGCCAGAGGCAACAAGAGGCATGACCAGAGGCGACAAGAGGCCAACAGGCATGACAAGGGGCAACAAGAGGCCAACAGGCATGACCAGGGTCAACAAGAGTCCAACAGGCATGACCAGAGGTAACAGGAGGCCAAGAGGCATGACCAGAGGCAACAGGAGGCCAACAGGCATGACCAGGGGCAACAACAGGCATGACCAGGGGCAACAAGAGGCATGACCAGAGGCAACAACAGGCATGACGAGGGGCAACAAGAGGCATGACCAGAGGCAACAACAGGCATGACCAGGGGCAACAAAAGGCCAACATGCATGACCAGGGGCAACAAGAGGCATGACCAGGGGCAACAAGAGGCATGACCAGAGGCAACAAGAAGCATGACCAGAGGCAACAAGAGGCATGACCAGGTGCAACAAGAGGCATGACCAGAGGCAACAACAGGCATGACCAGGGGCAACAAAAGGCCAACAGGCATGACAAGGGGCAACAAGAGGCCAACAGGCATGACCAGGGTCAACAAGAGTCCAACGGGCATGACCAGAGGTAACAGGAGGCCAACAGGCATGACCAGAGGCAACAGGAGGCCAACAGGCATGACCAGGGGCAACAACAGGCATGACCAGGGGCAACAACAGGCATGACCAGAGGCAACAACAGGCATGACCAGGGGCAACAAAAGGCCAACAGGCATGACCAGGGGCAACAAGAGGCATGACCAGGTGCAACAAGAGGCATGACCAGAGGCAACAAGAAGCATGACCAGAGGCAACAAGAGGCATGACCAGAGGGAACAACAGGCATGACCAGAAGCAACAAGAGGCCAACAGGCATGCCCAGGGGCAACAAGAGGCATGACCAGAGGCAACAAGAGGCATGACAAGGGGCAACAAGAGGCCAACAGGCATGACCAGGGGCAACAAGAGGCCAACAGGCATGACCAGAGGTAACAGGAGGCCAACAGGCATGACCAGAGGCAACAGGAGGCCAACAGGCATGACCAGGGGCAACAGGAGGCCAACAGGCATGACCAGAGGCAACAGGAGGCCAACAGGCATGACCAGGGGCAACAAGACTCTAACAGGCATGACCAGAGGAAACAACAGGCATAACCAGAGGCAACAACAGGCCAACAGGCATGGCCAGAGGCAACAAGAGGCATGACCAGAGGCGACAAGAGGCCAACAGGCATGACAAGGGGCAACAAGAGGCCAACAGGCATGACCAGGGTCAACAAGAGTCCAACAGGCATGACCAGAGGTAACAGGAGGCCAACAGGCATGACCAGAGGCAACAGGAGGCCAACAGGCATGACCAGGGGCAACAGGAGGCCAACAGGCATGACCAGAGGCAACAGGAGGCCAACAGGCATGACCAGGGGCAACAAGACTCTAACAGGCATGACCAGAGGCAACAAGAGGCATGACCAGAGGCAACAAGAGGCCAACAGGCATGGCCAGAGGCAACAAGAGGCATGACCAGAGGCGAAAAGAGGCCAACAGGCATGGCCAGAGGCAACAAGAGGCATGATCAGAGGCAACAACAGGCATGACCAGAGGCAACAACAGGCATGACCAGGGGCAACAGGAGGCCAACAGGCATGACCAGGGGCAACAGGAGGCCAACAGGCATGACCAGAGGTGAAGAGCATCCATCGGGCATGACCAGAGATGACAGAAGTGACATATTCATGAACAGCAAAACCCTGTAAGTCAAGAAACCCTGTTTCCTGGATTAACAGTAAGGAATGTGTAAATATACAATCAACATCACTGTTCTGTGATACAGCAAAAGTACCTCCAGAATATGGACTTTTACCTAACACACGTAATGAGCAAATACAATCAATATTTGCAAACATATAGGGAAGGAAGGGTAAGAAGACTTTAATGAAAGAATGTAGAGATAATGGTTCAGTTGAAACATTGATGGAATATAGTTATGTATACTTAATAGTACAGATTTTGGAACTGGTAATGACATTTTATATGTTGACCTTAGGTAAATACATTAACATCTATTGCATTAATAATTAATAGGCCAGATAAAAAATATTAACTCACTGAGTATGGAGGGTGGGACTATTGTTTTATTATATCTTTGATAAATAACACAAATCTATAAAAATCTACTTCTGTGTACTTGATTCTAATGTTTCACAGGACCTTTTTTGGCCATTCTGCAAGCAACTCAAAGTAGTTGAAAGTGTAAAAAGGCTGAATCCAGCACAGAAACAAAATTGGACTTCAAAATGTTTTTTTCTGAACAGTGCTAAATGTTGTAATTAAATTGGGGGTGGGGGTGGCAAGCTAAGGGACAGAGGGTTATGAAAAACAAGAAATTCATCATAACAATCCTCATAGATAAGGTGTGAGAGGTGTGAGTGTAGAAGAGAATAGAGAATATTACACTTTTAAACATAAACTACGGACGATGACATTGTCATAAATGAGTCTAACAACCTCTCATAATGGCTGCTTTGATAACTTCCTTTTCCCAATTGATCATAATGGTGAATGTTACATGTTAAAAGTATTTAAGTGTCCTTGGAGATTGAATTCAAAGGCTCTTGGTCATGCATTGCAAAGTGTGCAGCTTGAAATTGTTCGCAAAATTTATCCAAGTCAAACTGTATTATTATTTTGAGGGAATGTGCAGTGATATTGCGTGAATCCTGATATCATGCGGCCTAAATCTATCTCAGATGAGACTTTTTTCCATTGAAGAATGATTGTACGTCTTATAATCTCCATGCACCATCAAAATAAAAACCTGAATTTTGAGATAATAAACTTTACTGACTTGTTTCTTTGTAACTGATCTCAAACCCTGAAATTATTTCGAAACCTGTAAGTGTTAAACTTCACAAGTATATAATAGGTCTGTAGCAACCCATGCTTGCCGTAAAGGGCAACTATGCTTGTCATAAGAGGCGACTAACGGGATCGGGTGGTCAGATTCGCAGACTTGGTTGATACATGTCATCATTTCCCAATTGCATGGATTGATGTTCATGATGTCTATCACTGGTTTGTCTGATCCAGACTCGATTATTGTTTACAGACCGCCTTCATAAAGCTTGAATATTGCTGAGTGCGGTGTTAAACAACAAACAAACATCACAAGTATGAGGCTGAAAAGTAGTAATGGACACTTTCTTATTCTTATAAAAAGAGTGTATCTAACAATGAATGGAAAATACCATGTGTTATAATAAAATACACATTGCCATATACTACACTTATCAATAGTGTTTGTACTGATGCTATAATTCTCGTATCTAATCCTTGATATGTAACTCTTTCAACAAAGTTGAAAACAGTACACAAATATATATACATTTAATGTAAATGTTAAACAGATGTTTCACATGTAAACGATTGGGAAATAACTATAAGAACACAAAATATCAGGGATTTTTATGTTTTTAAAGTTTATATGTATCATTTTTTTAAACTTTAAATGAAAATTGACAAACAGCAAAAATGATCAAAATTAACCACAACAGTACATGGAGTTTTTCAGACGGACGTGTGATGTTAAAAACGGAAAACCCTCCTCAGCATACTTAATTGACTTGTCATGAGCAATCAAATGTACAGAAATAAGTTCATTACCATATTATAAGTCGGTCTCAGTAAATGTAGAGAATTTGGCGTGAATATGTGTCGCGGGATTAACACAAGATAATTTCTTCATCTGCGTTGCGTGTCAACCTAATGTCGCCATCCGTATAGTTCAATGACAAGCGCGCTCATGATGAGCATCAATTATTGATTAGGCTTCACAGGTACAATCAAACGTCGCGGCTTAGCGTTAATCAATCAACAGCTCTGCCTTCACTGTTGGTGCGTCTTTTTAGTATTGTATATTCAGACAAAACACTTGCAGCTGACTCACCTGTTACGAGTTACATAACCGTCCTTCTCAAATGAAATCCGAATTAGGCGCCCCTTTCACTTCTGCCATCGTGACATAAATATTGATAGTTGACAGAGTGCGAGTTTGCTCGTACCGCGAGATTTGGCGAGAAGTCGTGCTTAGTCACGGGTGTAAACAACATGGCGGCGTGGATACAGGTGCCCGTTTGACCATTCGAAGAAAATAGGATAATTGAATTGTGATTTCTGTGAAGGGACAGTGAACCATATCTATTTCTTAGTAATCATGGCCCTCGTCAAACGGAATGACAAACCTCAAACGTTTTCGTGGAATGTGCGGGATTCAAGAAAAACACAACACAAACGTGAGGACGGATGAATGAGCAGCTGATGCATAACAACATTTAGATAAAGAATTATTTTAAAAGGAATGTTTGATCACGTTTCGTAATAAGCAAAATGAATCATATTGCATGCGTAGATGCCAAAGGTGTTAAGACCTGTACGCAAGACATATGTCTTAATATTCAGTAAAATTGATTTATTGTATGATTGTTTAGTATGATGTAAAATCTTTGATTTTTTCACAGTTCCTGTTATAAAAAACCCACCAGTTATAGACTACGACAAGTTACAGGAATTATGCAGCATTGATGGAATGAAGAACAGGTAAAAAATTACCTATTTTGAGATAACAGCAAACACATTAGAGAGCAGACTTATTTACATGCTGTCACTAAAATAGCCTTTGCCCCTAATGTTTGTTTTGTTTTTAAGTATTGTTAAAAAACAACTTATTGTACTTGAAGCTGCAGGGGATGTGGCCAAAAGATGTCACAGAATCATATTTTCTTTTATAGATTTCCAACATAAACTAAACAAATAAATTATAATAATTATTGGTCACTCTCTTACTGTCTATTTGCTGATGTTCCTTAGCTGCAATTTGGTCATTATTTGAGAAACTAATCTTCTGAAATGAGAACAAGCTGATTCAGGATATTATAGTTACTCATCATCACCCAATGGGGATTCTTGGGTAAAACATGTTACTCAACCTTCCTCAATTGAACGACCGCCTCCGTGGTCTAGTGGTAGAGTGTCCGCCCGGAGAGCAGAAGGTCTGGGGTTTGATCCCTGGCCGAGTCATACCAAAAGACGTTAAAAGATGGTACTTGTTGTTACCCTGCCTGGTGCTCTTCATTAAGGGGTTAAAACAAAGACTGGTTGGCTCAGAGTCAGTATATTGTGTCTGACTGGAGTATTCATGTTAAACTGCAGCATGGTATCTCAGTGGGCTAGCACTGTAAAATTGGCATCAGTCCAGACTAGTACAAGCAGCCACACACACACAAACACACGTGCATGCACGTTGCTATAAATAAGTGCAATAATCTTGGACGCAACGTTAAACCCCATTTCACTGCCTCACCTCCTTAAGGACGACACCTTTGATGAAAGATGAGTATTTTGGTCCTCAACCAATGTTGTGTAGTACAGGTCTCCAGTTCTTCACACTTGTCATAAAGCCACCTGGCGTGTGGATCAGGTAGTTACACGGTGGGTCATCAATGTCCTGACAACATGGGTTATTGTTCATACCATCTACCACCAGTCGCATGTCCCAGATTCATTTGTTTACCAGCTGAGAGGATGAAGGTTGACCACTAGGGCTGGGACGAGTCCAAATTTACTACCCGGGTACCCAACCCCCTATTACCCAACCCTACCCAGGTACCCACTGTAGGTCTCAAGCGTTGGGAACACAATGTCTAATTGGGAATAGTTTAACTGTAGCCCTGGCAAAAACTGTTAAGATACATGTATGAAACCAGAGACCATATACCCGGTAATAGATATATGGTCTCTTATGAAACGATCAAATCATGCGTACACTGAAGTTGACTGAAGCTTTATCTTTACTCAAACATATACAAGTCAAAAAAGAATGTGTGCATCATCAGAAAGAAATGGGAACATTAGCGACTTGTAGTGTAACCACTGAGCTCCAATGAGTTTTTGTCATTAAACAATATGTCTCGTGACTAACCATGGGTCCGGGTAGTATTGTGGGTACCCGGGTCCTACTCAGGACCCACCCGACCCGAGTACCCGAGTTACCCGTCCCAGCCCTATTGACCACATGTAATACAGTAGTGTAAACAAGATAAACCAGACACTCATTAATCTGACATTCAGGGTCTGCCAGCTGGGCATGCTGCATCATCACTGGGCATAGCTGGTAAATTGCTGAGGCTGTGTCCACAAATATCCCCACACCAGGGACTTCCCTGCAGGGTCAATCTATTTTTGAGTCCAGGGGTCTTTTAGTAATAATTTTGGGGGAGTCCAAGGTATGAACACAGGGGTCTGCCTGGCAACATGTGGCACAATTAATTTGATTGCCAAGAATTTTACTGAAATCATATTACTGAATATGCTCAGAATCCTTAAGTATATTGTAGATGGCAATTTCGATCCTTTTATTTTTTTACAGTTGGTTTATGAGACAAACCGACAAAATTATATTAAAATGACATAAAAGATAAAAGATACTTTTGATCAAATTGCTTTGTCTCACTCTGTTTACAACTAGTTTAAATTTAAAATAAACACACAATATTTTATCACTGCTGTTAATAAGAAATTGTTAATAATACATAAAAATCTTTATTCTAACAAAAACAACAATCGATTATCTTTTGGTATCTATCTTTTCAAAATTAAAATTATTTTGTGCATTCTCAATTTGTATGTATTTCGGATGCACTATTTTGCGTTGATTAAAACCCTGCCTCACTCACTCCAGCTTTGGTAATGTCAATCTCATTAAAATCAGGTCTACCGCTAAACAAAGATCTGAGGACATCCCATTACGGGTCACGTAAGAATGACCTTTCATCCAACCAATCATACCGTCGCTTACCAGAACCTGAAAGTGACAGTCGGAATGTGTTTTCTAATCATGCAACCTCGAAATATATAACAGAGGGTATTCCGAACGACAGTTACAGGTTTTATGATTATATCCATACAATCTAGGCCATCTATAAGCCATTCCAGAATGTTGTTTTGGTCAGTTTTAACTTTCGTAATCGAGAATCGAAGCGTAGTCGCCAGTTTGAAACTAGTGCCGTAGAGCTCGAGAAAGCTGCCTTCCAATTGGTTAATATCGATTTCTGGTCAGTCATTTCATTGGTCGGTCAATGTTCGCGAAAGGTCGTTGTGACCTGACCCGTAATGGTATGTCCTCAGATCTTTCGTTAGCAGTAGTGAAAACTAAGATCTGATTTTAATGAGATTGTTGTAATGTAAGAAATATTTTAACATTGTTATGCCAAAGTATGTTTGACAGATTAACTTTGTGTTCATGATGCACTGGTATAAACAATGTATATCCACTAGTTCTCGTCGCTATATGGCTGAAGCAGTGCCAATGTGATGTTAAATTTTAACTCACTCACAGAGAAATATTTAAAATCACATCTAAGGCAACTACCCCTTCGTCTTCATATTGCAGAGACAACAATGAGACGTCAGAGGAAGCACATCGAGAGTTCATGGCAAACTACCACAAGATGTTTGTCAAACCTCCCAAGAAGTTAGGCTTCCCAATCCACACCGAGAAGAGAGGGTGAGACACATCAGTACCGTTCATACATCCAGAGACATCCATTGTTCATGTCGTCACAAATTGATACCATGATATCATCTGAGCAACATGCTGACTTCAGAGCTTCAGAGTTCTGTCAGGCTGACATATCATAAGATTTTGTTTATATCCATTCTTAAAATGATGATGAGTAAGATATAGAATAATCTACTCGCAATTACCTGTCCCCTCGTAAATGAATCGCTGAATGCTGGAAGTCCCTTGTCAAAGGCACCATGCTTTCACTCAGGACATATAATCTGTAGTGATGTAGCCGAATGGGTATTCTCTTGTTTCATTTGAATTAAAGAATGGCTTAAGAAGTCTTCACATTTTTCAGAAGTCTTATAAGTTTCTACTTTACTTCAGGGCCTGGTCTTGTATTTATGGTGGGATTGGTTTTTGACTATCATTTTCTACTGACCCCCCCCCCCCCCATCACTTTATGTAACATGTTTTCACGCCTCCCCCAAATACATGTGACATTGTTTCATGCTCCCCCCCTCAACATAATAAATGACCAGTCCCTTAATAATGTTCAAATTAATAATTTATTTGAAAAAATAGATCTGTTTGTTACAGGGAGAATCGTGGTTCGACACTGAGTGTGAGTCATAAAGCTACAGGTGAGTACCATATAGAGCAAGGATGCCACTTTGTCCTCCATGACAGGCATTAGGCCCTTTGTTTTAGGTGAAGATCCGGGGTAGAATAGGTCTTCAGCAACCCATGCTTGCCGTAAAAAGTGACTATGCTTGCCATAAGAGGAATTGGGTGGTCAGACTCGATAACTTGGTTAATGCATGTCATCATATCCCATTTGCGTCGATCGATGCTCCCGATGTCAATTACTGGATTGTCTGGTCCAGACTTGATCCTTTACAGACTGCCGTCATACAGCTGGAATATTGCTGAGTGTGGCGTTAAAAAAAAACAACCAAAAAAAACAAAAATCATACCAAAAAAACATAATGAAATGGTACTTGTTGTTGCTCTACCTGGCGCGTGGCATTAAGGGGCTTAAACAAGGACTGGTCAACTCGTAGTCAGTATACTGTGTCTGACTGAGGTTTCCATGTCAAACTGTGGCATAGTGTCACGGAGGGCTAGCACTACAAAACCAGCATTAATCTGGACCAGTACAAGCATTAATACACAGATGCTCATTGCTAAATAAGTGCAGTAATCTTGAACGCTGTTTAGCAAATATAGCAGAGCATATCTGATTGGTATGCAAGGGTGATAACTCTGGATGTGTTATTGTTGCTGTAAGATAAATGGTATCTGACAGCCCCTCGTGTAGTAATCTCAATATCCCTCTCGTTCTGCAACAGGAAGTGAATCACATGAGAAGAAACCTATCAAGAAGCAACTTAAGACCCATGTGGAGTCTCACAATGTCAGTGATTATCTCCCCTTGCTTCACAAGGAACGCAAGAGTGAGGACCCAGTGGCTATCAGAGCCGCGAACATCAGGACGCTGCGGAGGATTCTCAGAAAACTGTATGTGGAGGTTTCACTGTATTCCGTTTCATAGGATTGTAGGGTGTATGGACCACTCAACTGGATTTGTTGTAGGGCTGGGACTAGTCTAGATTTACTTCAATGGGTTCAGGGTGGTCGTGTAGCGTTAGTTTGTCACGCCGGAGACCCAGGATCGATTCCCGACATGGGCACAATGTGTGAAGCCCATTTCTGGTGTCCCCCGCCATGATATTGCTGGAATATTGCTAAAAGCGGCGTAAAACCATACTCACCCACTCACTCACTTACTACCCGGGTACCCAACCCCCTTTTACCCGACCCTACTGGGTACATGCTGTAGGTCTCAAGAGATAGGTCCAAACTGTCCGATTGGGAAAAGTTTGCCCTCGCAAAATGTATTTAGATACACGTGTAAAACAATCTGGTCATGCATACACTGAAGTTTACTGTATGAAGTTTTATCTTTATTCAAACATATACAAGTCAGAAGGAAGGGGTGCATAGTCAGAAAGAAATGGGAACATTAGTGACTTGTAGTTTAACCATAGAGTTTTAGATAATTTTTGTCATTAAACAATATATCACATGACTAACCATGGGTCCTGTGGGTACCCGGGTCCCACTCAGTACCCACCCGACCCGAGTACCCGAATTACCCGTCCCAGCCCTAATTTGTAGGATGTTGCTCTGTTTCAGTGTGATCGAGTTGTAAGAGGTATGAACATCTCTGAGATGAGACTTGTTTGAGCATTCTTGAAAATATGTACTGATGTTTTTCTGTTTTCAGTCCAATCTGTGCTTGTAGGGTGTTTTGGGGTTTTATTACAAAATTTCTTAGACAGAATCAGGTTAATAAATCTCTTTTGGATTGTAAGTTCGTTGTAGAATTAATGTAGATCTTAGATCATCATGTTTTTGCTTTCAAAAATTCCATACAGAAAATAATTACCATGCTGAAAAGTGAAAGTGAGAAAATATGTGCTGAATAGCGACTCGAAGGCACAAGTTGACCTGTTGATATCCTTTTGTCTAAGTTCACTTAATGTTGATATAGAATCCATTATATCACTTCCAATTTGTGGACCAAGTGTTTTTTTTTTCAGTCCCTTCGAGAGGACAGCAGTGGACAATGACAGGGTGTTTTCTATTCTGCGCACGTTCCCGTTCTTCGCCCAGTGCGTGCCCTTGAATGTCCTGAAGGAGCTTTGTGTGGTCGCCCAACTCGAGATCTGGAAGGAGGACAACTTCACAAGTAGGAGCTGTTTACTGTCCTAAATGTTTGAATTATGTGTGTCATAATAGTCGACACAAATTTGCTAATTTACGGGCCTCTTTGAAATAGCTGACTGGTGTAAATGAACAAACAAACAAACAAGATTTTTACAAGAATCATGTACTCATTATTAACATGATTCAAAGAAGAACAGCCTTGTTCTTGGGTTTCCAAGTTTGGCAACTCGGGTCTGTACATGGTGTTAAAGGGTGTGAGAGTGTTTCAACGTATGGCAACTCGGGTCTGTACGTGGTGTTAAAAGGTGTTAGAGTGTTTCAGTGTTTGGCAACTCAGGTCTGTACATGGTGTTAAAGGGTGTGAGAGTGTTTCAACGTATGGCAACTCGGGTCTGTACATGGTGTTAAAAGGTGTGAGAGTGTTTCAGTGTTTGGCAACTCGGGTCTGTACATGCTATTAAAGGATGTGAGGGTGTTTCAGTGTTCGGCAACTCGGTCTGTACATGGTGTTAAAGGGTGTGAGGGTGTATCAGTGTTTGGCAACTCAGGTCTGTACATGGTGTTCAAGGATGTGAGGATGTTTCAGTGTTTGGCAACTCGGGACTGTACATGGTGTTAAAGGATGTGAGGATGTTTCAGTGTTTGGCAACTCGGGTCTGTACATGGTGTTAAAGGATGTGAACATGTTTAAGTATTTGGCAGCTCGGGTCTGTACATGGTGTTAAAGGGTGTGATGGTGTTTCAGTGTTTGGCAACTGGGGTCAGTACATGGTGTTAAAGGGTGCGAGGGTGTTTCAGTGTTTGGCAACTCGGGTCTGTACATGGTGTTAAAGGATGTGAACATGTTTCAGTGTTCGGCAGCTCAGGTCTGTACATGGTGTTAAAGGGTGTGAGGGTGTTTCAGTGTTTGGCAACTCGGGTCAGTACATGGTATTAAAGGGTGTGATGGTGTTTCAGTGTTTGGCAACTGGGGTCAGTACATGGTGTTAAAGGGTGCGAGGGTGTTTCCGTGTTTGGCAACTCGGGTCTGTACATGGTGTTAAAGGGTGTGAGGATGTTTCAGTGTTTGGCAACTCGGGTCTGTACATGGTGTTAAAGGGTGTGAGGATGTTTCAGTGTTTGGCAACTCTGGTCAGTACATGGTGTTAAAGGGTGTGACAGTGTTTCAGTGTTTGGCAACTCGGGTCAGTACATGGTGTTAAAGGGTGTGACAGTGTTTCAGTGTTTGGCAACTCGGGTCAGTACATGGTGTTAAAGGGTGTGACAGTGTTTCAGTGTTTGGCAACTCGGGTCAGTACATGGTGTTAGAGGGTGTTTCAGTGTTTTGCAACTCGGGTCAGTACATGGTGTTAAAGGATGTGAGGGTGTTTCAGTATTCGGCAACTCGGGTCTGTACATGGTGTTAAAGGATGTGAACATGTTTCAGTGTTTTGCAACTCGGGTCAGTACACAGTGTTAAAGGATGTGAACATGTTTCAGTATTCGGCGACTCGATCAGTACACGGTGTTAAAGGATGTGAACATGTTTCAGTATTCGGCAACTCGGGTCTGCACATGGTTCTAAAAGGTTCTGTCCTGCCTCTGACATCACCATACCTCAACATCCACTTCTCCCAGATGGAGTTCCGCTCACCCACGCCAATAGAGGACGAGGTTGATGAGAAGGTAGGTACCAGCACAGATTTGCCTTGCTGACGTTGTGGAGGTAATTATCAAAATAGTACTAAAATGGTTTTCTTTGTCGAGACAGAATATGTTTCCAGTCACTGCTTCAAGACCCTTTTTTGAAAAGATGCAGCTGAACCAATTTTTTTTCATATCACATATATTTCAGGACCTCTCAGACATCCTTCAAAAAGTTATTTTTTTTATAAATACTGAGGCAAACTTATTTTTTCTTGTTTTTCTGGAACAAATTATTTTTAAAATCTCAGGTCTCTTCAGAATATCTGAAAGTCTGTCCCTAATGGAGTAACAGAAATGCCTTTATATATCATTGTCACAAGTGTCCCTGAGGGTTGGTAGGAACATCTGACAGCAGGGGTGTGATGCTTCATGGATGCCTCTGTGTTACAGCTTGAAGTAGGAGAATGTTTTGGCACCTTGGTGAAGATTGAGGACAGATCAGCCAACACCAAGTAAGCAAACACACCACTGTTCAGGATTATAGATCTTAGAGTTAATACCAGTTCATCACAGGCAGAGCTCAAGGCATTTAATGAGTAATTCATACTGGTGGAAGAGAAGGACACATCAATAATTGATAGCTTGTTGCTTGTTCGTTGTCTAACGTTATACTCAGCAATATTCCATCTATATGATGGTGGTCTGTAAATAATCGAGTCTGGACCAGAAAATACAGTGATTGACATCATGAGCATCGATCCACCCACTTGGGATACAATGACATGCATCAACCGAGTCAGCAAGCCTGACCACCTCATCCTGTTATTTATTAGCCTTTTACGACAAGCATGGGTTGCTGATGACCTATAGATAGAAATGATTGACAGCAAACAGCTGAGTTGGACACATCTGGAACACTGGTTATATGCCAGCTCTCAAATTAGTTTCCATATCACGGAACAACAAAATGTCTGTTAACGTGAAAAAAATTTATTCTTGTTTTCAAAAACATTGTATTCACATTGTATGTAAAGATAAGACATATTCCACAGTTCCAGATCTTGCAAAAAGAACTTAAACATGCTTATTTCATCTCCATATGTTCAGCACTAATAAATGGCTTTTAAGACACAGTTTGGGCCTTCATGTGACCATTCCTGTGGAGCTTTATGTGACCAATATATATGACCAACCATGTGACCAACCATGTGACCTTTATGTAAACAAGCATGTGACCTTTATATGACCAATCATCTGACCTATATATAACCAATCATGTGAATCATGTGATCTTTATGTGACCAATCATATGACCTTTATGTGACCAATCTTGTGAATTTTATCCGACCTTTATGTGACCTTTATGTGACCAATCATGTGACCATTATATGACCAACCATGTGACCTTTATGTGACCAATTCTGTGTTTGTTTGCTGTTAATCGCCGTACTCGACAATATTCCAGCTATATGACGGCGGTCTGTACATAATTGAGTCTGGACCAGACAATCCAGTGATTGAAATCATGAACATCGATCTACGTATTTGGGATACAATGACATGCTTTCAACCAAGTCAGTGAGTCTGACCACCTGATCCCTTAAGTCGCCTCTTACGACAAACATAGTTCCCTTTTATGACCAGCATGGGTTGCTGAAGACCTATTCTACCCAGGATCTTCACAGGTGACCAATCATGTGATCAATTCTGTGACCAATCATGTGACCAATCACATGACCAATCATGTGACCAATTCTGTGACCAATCATGTGATCAATTCTGTGACCAATCATGTGAGCTTTGTGACCTTTGTGTGACCTATCCCTTGACCTACCCTGTCTGTCTTCAGAGTACTGAGTGTCAATACAGATGAAACCCCAGTGGAATTATTAAAGATATCCGTGTCCGACTACAACAGGGTCATAGAGGTGAGTCCCGCTAGATGGACCTAGTACTGTGAACATATCCAGTTAACCAAGGGGACCCTCTCCAGGTTATCAGCTGAAGATAGATAAATAAGTACAATGGCAGTCTATAGATATTGTTAGGCAGACATGCATGTATGTGTGTAGGAAAGGAACCAGTTATAGTTGGGTTGAACTTAGGGAAAGGAAAAATATCAGGACTGGTGATGTGTCAGTGACATTAGATAATGCCATAATTTCAGTTGTTATTTTTGTAGGATTATAATAATATCGAAAAATAAAATCTGATATCAGCCGATGATCACAAAACAGGATTTTGCTGTGATTAAGTAACACTACTTTCCATATCTATTGCAGCAAATCCGTCAGCGAGAGCACACAGAGAAGCTGAATGTCCTCCTGTCAGGGGATCAGTATGGAGTGTGGCCTCGCCAGCCTCTCATACAAGTGGCAAACCTCATCGAGTGGATGACATACCCACCCAACACAGGTACTGTCAGACACACTGGCTACTGGTCTTGTTTAGGTCAGGGGGAGTTGGGATAGCCTTGTGCCAGCCTCTCATACAAGTTGCAAACCTCATCGAGTGGATGACATACCCACCCAACACAGGTACTGTCAGGCACACTGGCTACTGGTCTTGTTAAGGTCAGGGGGAGTTGGGATGGCCTTGCACCAGTAGTTGGAACGACAAACTGCCCTTGTTGGTATACAGCCTGGACACTCATCTTGACTTCTTATTGAGTGTAGTATTATCTATCATACTGCTGGAACACCGGCGCACATGGGACAATGGTAGGAAGTACACCATAATACACACATGCATGTGTGAGCGCGAGGAAGATAACAGTTAAAGCAGTCAATATTCAGGCTCAATTCCAAAACTGGTATAATGTAAGAAGATCTTCAAACATTTCTGGTCTTCCCTGCAATTGCTGACATAGGGCTGAAAAGAAACAAAAGCAAAGACAAACATATGTCTACTTTACTTAACTGTTTACAACTCTGTAGGCTTCACTGTAGTGCTTCAGTCTGTATTGTTGTAGAGACAGGGTTTGTTAGTTAGCTTTGAATGGATGGTTTCTACAGTGGGGTCGTATTATAGGCAAGGTTGTACAGTGTTAGAAATGAACTGAAAAGCCTCACTGGCCCAGGTAAATATAAAATGCCCTTGAAATGTTAAAAAAATGGGGAAATTGTGTAGCCTGTAGGAATTTGTACTAGCCCCGGGCTAGCGGCTAGTGTTAATTTCTAACCCTGTCGTATTACAGATGGTGATAGAGTCATGATATGATATCAGTTAATACTGTGTTCAAGATGCATTTCATGATTTCTGGTATTTTTTTTATGTAACAAGAGCTTATTTGTTTGTCAGAAATATCAGTCTCTCACTGGTGCACCAATGAATCATTACTAAAAATGACATAAGGCCCCACTCACTCAATGACTAGTTAGTGATCACATCTTTCCGCCTTATATCAACCTTGGCTATACATGATGGCACATGTCAACCCTGTATGCAAGTCCCGATGTCTGGTGTTCCAGTGGTTGTGTCCGAGGGTTACAAGTCTCCCTTCATCGGCTTCATCAAGAGTGGGGAGTGCCACGTGCTGCGACAGGTCGAGGTCCTACACACTCTCCACAATGGACAGAAGGTAATCTTCACCTCCGTCCTCCCTCAGTGGGAAAATAGCACATGCCAAGGGCAGGTAACTCTAAACTCCTGGTTCACACGTTTTGTCATGACAAATTGGTCATAATTTGTATTCATTTGCAGATTCAATAACCTGCACATCCCATTTTGAATACACTTGAATTCACTAAACAGTTATACATTCGGAAATTTATAACGTGAGAACAGGATATTAGGATATACTAAAAATGTGTACAGTATATAACTATGTTTTACTCATATGGTGTTATATTTTCCACAAAAGTACATGCTTCTAGATGGTAACTGCCAAATCACAAAATGCACCCTACCTTTTCCAGAAAGGTGCATCAATGCTGGGGTTTAGTCCACCGATGCTGTAGGTTCCTAATGCAATATCCATTATTGAATACTCAATAAAACTCACAAATCTGAAAACACGTTTATCTACATTGTAAAATACAAACGTTTCTGTTCGTTTTCTGAAGCACCCTCACAGTTCTAAGACAGACATGACGTCCCCCTGGATGCGATCATGATACCACTGATGCTATCACATACTTCCATGAAAACTGAACTCGCCAGTTAACAGAATGTGGAAAAATACCCAACAAAATCATACTTATTCTGATAAATATTGATCAAACTCAAAATTAAATAACATTGCATCCATTTCACCCAGCCAACACCGACACACTTTTTCAAATTTGGATTGAGAAAAAAATCATGCATAGTGAAATAACTTTTTAATTTGAAGTTTACACTATATACGGCTTTTCCATTGGACGAGAGGTCGGTCACATGACTGCGAAATTGACGTTCATAAGTGTATGAACGACACAATTTGACGTTCATACGTTTTTCATGAGACCATGTTCTTGAAATGACGTAAACACTGATGGACTACTTCCACATTCCTTGGGAAACCCCTGGGAATTCCCTAGCACGAAAACATACATAAGCGTTCTTTCTGATCATTTAGAACCTTTCTTCTTGGTCTCAGCGTTTCAGTATACGTTGAGAAATGTCAGAGAGCGTGACTGCATGATTGTTCACGAATATCTTCGCTGCAGCCTATCCTAATGAACAAACGAAGAAATGCACATCTAAACTATCGTAGTATCGACTCGATCCATGTCTAGGCTGACATTGACCATCTCCAGCAATCTATGAATTTACCTTAGTGTCTGTTTGACGCATCTTTATTCACCTTTCAATGATCGGCCAGTTGATCAATGATGACTTACACATGTAACCGCCACAGGTTCATGAACAACTTCAGAAATCTCTCCCGTCACGTTTATCGTGTCGGCCATTTTGACGTCTTGTACTTGATGTAAATGTATTATGACGCGCTGTCATTGTGAATGACTTACTGAGGTAGTTCTTTACAGACCTTTCTCATCTAATGAGGATATGATTCGAAGACATGCGCTGCATAAGATGTTTCTGAAGAGCAAGTTGTGCATCCATACGCCCATGTCACCTCTCTTTTTGAGGAACTATTTTACTCCGCAATGTAGCTGGTTGTTGTATGGCTATCAGTGTAAACATGAATCCACAAGTACTAAATAAAATTGTGTTTAGATCTTGGCCTACATCCTTTGGGGTAAGAAATTGTGATAAAAAAAATGATAATAATTGACCTTCACTTTGTGTGAGTTCATTGGAGTATGAACCTTCATAGAGTGAGGGCCAAACATTGTATGAACGTCGTCGCAAGCTCCGACGTTCATAGTTTGGCCCTCACTCTATGAAGGTTCATACTCCAATGAACTCACACAAAGTGAAGGTCAATTCTTAATTGTCCAGGATATCCCATTTGTTTAACAACAAACCAGAATTCTATTTTTTCCAGAAATTACACCTCAAAGTATGTATTTTTCTCATCATTAAAATCTAAATAGTGTTGCTTTTGAAACTGACTTGATGAGTGTGTTTCTGTTTATCATATGTAGATTTATCATCCAAAACTGGCTCACACAGGAGATATCTCTTGGGTGCAATGAAATTGCATCACAATGCTTTGCAGACCATTGTGACGTCATTGGTCACCATGACATCACAATCAAATGACATCACTAATGGCTCTGCTACTGAAGCTGCTAGCAGTACCTTTTACACTTAAGACACTGCTAATTACTGTCTAAAAACTGAAAAAGTTGGAAGAATGATGTTGGAAGATAAATAAAATCTCACCTGAGTGTCTTTTGATATCAAATATATCAACAATCGATGAATAAAGTGGAAAAACTCCTTGGCATGCCTTGGGTTTTTTCCACTTTTATCAACTCGTGTTGATATATTTGATATCAAAGGACACTGGGTGAGATTCTCTATTTAATGACTGCTTGAACATAAAAAATCACATCTAATTCTAAACCACATATTTCCCTACCTTCAATTATGGATATAGATAATAGATCCAGCATTTGTACAGGTAACCAATCAGCTATTGATAATAATCTATCATCTCAGAATCAGACAGATGTGATTTATCTACAGGAATTAATGTCTGTTGTTCTGGTGTTAGGATCTGTCCAACATATGTAACATGCAACTGTATCGCCCCAGATGTTCATGTTTGGCAAGTAGAGCAGAAGAGCGTAACACTCTCAACTCTTCGTCTTGTTGCAGGAACGGAAGACAAAGCAAGTGGTCATGGGAAGACTGAAACCATCGGACTCCTTTGCTGAACTGAGCGTGCTCCTGGATGAGCCAATCACATGCTCCATTGTCACGGCAACAGATATTGAACTCGGCATTATCAAACCAGAGAGGATCGAAGGTGTGTAGCAAGAGTACTGTATTACTGGGGTAGAATTGGGTAAGTGGAGAGAGGGGTTGTGGCAGGTGTATTACTGGGGTAGAATTGGGTAAGTGGTGAGAGGATGTATTACTGGGGTAGAATTGGGTAAGTGGAGAGAGGCTGTGTGGCACGTGTATTACTGAGGTAGAATTGGGTAAGTGGAGAGAGGATGTGTGGCAAGTGTATTACTGGGGTAGAATTGGGCAAGTGGAGAGAGGGCGTGTGGCACGTGTATTACTGGGGTAGAATTGGGTAAGTGGAGAGAGGGTGTGTGGAGAGAGGGTGTGTGGCAAGTGTATTACTGGGGTAGAATTGGGTAAGTGGAGAGAGGGTGTGTGGAGAGAGGGTGTGTGGCAAGTGTATTACTGGGGTAGAATTGGGTAAGTGGAGAGAGGGTGTGTGGAGAGAGGGTGTGTGGCAAGTGTATTACTGGGGTAGAATTGGGTAAGTGGAGAGAGGGTGTGTGGCACGTGTATTACTGGGTGTTGAATGGGGTGAGTAATTGGACCATTGTGGAGAGGGAGAATGATTGTTGTAGGGTGTTTCTGGTGCAGGTTTCTATGAGTCTGTGATGCAACAATGACCCGAGAAATCCACTTCAAGATTTGTTTCCTTGAAATTTCAGAACTTGATGAAGTTACAATACAGTTGTTCAAGCAGTCAAATACAAGAACGTTTGGTGATTTAACCAAGGTAAATATAAACGTTTGTGATTTACCAAAGGTAGATATAAACGTTGGTGATATACCCAAGGTAGATATAAACGTTGGTGATTTACCCAAGGTAGATATAAACGTTGGTGATTTACCAAAGGTAGATATAAACATTGGGGATTTACCAAAGGTAGATATAAACGTTTGTGATATACCCAAGTTAGATATAAACGTTGGTGATTTACCCAAGGTAGATATAAACGTTGGTGATTTACCCAGGGTAGATATAAACATTGGTGATTTACCCAAGGTAGATATAAACGTTGGTGATTTACCCAAGGTAGACATAAACGTTGGTGATTTAGCCAAGGTAGATATAAACATTGGTGATTTACCAAAGGTAGATATAAACGTTGGTGATTTACCCAAGGTAGATATAAACGTTGGTGATTTAGCCAAGGTAGATATAAACGTTGGTGATTAACCAAAGGTAGATATAAACGTTGGTGATATACCCAAGGTAGATATAAACGTTGGTGATTTACCCAAGGTAGATATAAACGTTGGTGATTTACCAAAGGTAGATATAAACATTGGTGATTTACCCAAGGTAGACATAAACGTTGGTGATTGAGCCAAGGTAGATATAAACATTGGTGATTTAGCCAAGGTAGATATAAACGTTGGTGATTTACCCAAGGTAGACATAAACGTTGGTGATTTAGCCAAGGTAGATATAAACATTGGTGATTTACCAAAGGTAGATATAAACGTTGGTGATTTACCCAAGGTAGATATAAACGTTGGTGATTTAGCCAAGGTAGATATAAACGTTGGTGATTAACCAAAGGTAGATATAAACGTTGGTGATATACCCAAGGTAGATATAAACGTTGGTGATTTACCCAAGGTAGATATAAACGTTGGTGATTTACCCAAGGTAGATATAAACATTGGTGATTTAGCCAAGGTAGATATGTACATATGGTGATTTTAACCGAGGTAGATTTGAACCTGGAGATGGATGGGTGACTGTGTTGCCATGGTAACCGATCAGCTTCTTTATTGCAGGAGGACATTCAGGAGGAATATATTCAGCAGGAACTGAAGCGAGAGTGGAACGAGTTCAAACACAGCGTTGTCGTAGATGTTATCAACTCACGCGGCATACGACCAGGCTATGGTCGCTGGACAAAATGAAAGGCTCGTCCAAAGATGCTGAAAAGACAAGCTATGTGAAATCTGGCACAAGGTGCTGTTGATATCAGAAATGGCAGCTTTTGTACCAGATATTCTCAAACTATGATTCAGCTGATACCAATTGCTGTTAGATAACGGCTCTTGTACTCGTACACACCACCAGTGAAATATTGCAACAATGAGAAGCATTACTCAAGGGCAGACTACTCTGTCTGTGGTCCAATGACCTGGGTTGTTACTTATTGTAGCAAAACTAACAGTCATTCTGACAGAAATAACACAAACAATTGGCTGTGTGACCAGTTCCCCTGACACACCACCTGTAGTTTATCAGATCTTCATGGGGAGGCATTGTATTGGAGTAAAAGATCTTAGCAAGATTGAAGAAACACAAGCATTTAAAACCAGTATTCCATAGTAAGCAGAGACTACGACAAAATTTCAAGAAAACAGATATCACTTGGTCCTAGGGACCTAAGTCAATAGATGTGAGAATTGCTATACCCAAGTGCACATAATCAGGATGTTATTACACTAGATGTTCTACCCTTATTGGTCATACGTTAACGAATGGAAAAACTTATCTGACATCCAGATTTGAGTGAAATAACTTCTTTCAGTCAGCCTCCAAGACACTGGAAAGATCATGAAGAACAGTGAGAAAAACATAGCATACATTTGTCCTTTCTTGTGACCGGAAAAACATGTATGCATATATTGTTTTAATGAATGAACTTTGTTGTGCGATAAAAAAAGACATATGCTTTACAATATCTTTGCAGCAGAATGTTTAATCCAAAATGTCAAATCTAACAATCTTTGTTTTCATTTTGTATGTTTTTAACAATATTTTTTGTATTTATGAATCATGGGCCAAAAGTTAACTTTGTACCAATATTTGTTAAGTGATGACTAACTAAAAATATATATAAAATAAACTGTAAACTTATTTGTTGAAAGTGGTCATGTTGCTATGGTTTCTTTTGGGTATAAAACACAGGTCACAAGCAGGCTAAGTTAAGCACCATTGGTCGTGGAGAGTAGATGGATGGAGACCGTGTTCAGCAGCTGGACTCCAGAGTTTTAGGACTTTGTTCTGCCCCACATTGAATCACATGTTACATGTGGTGTCTCCTCAGGCAGGTGACTGTGAAATGTGCCTCTGTTCATCCCCAGCAGTGAATGAGATGGTAACATTGCTAGTTTACATGTACCATCTTTTAATGTCTTTCAACATCTCTTGGTAAGACACTCTCCGGACAGACGCTCTATGCACTATACCATAGGCGGTCGTGATTACGTTAAGCGAGTCAGAGTCATTCAGAGCACTGAAAGATTTATGATCACCTGAACATTGCTGGACTAACAGGACCAGGACGAAGACTTAGAACAAGGCACACATTTGTTTATTCATAATCAATACAATGTACATTTTCCTGATCAAATGGAACAATAAATTGTTGGACAACACAGAGTGGTAGTAAGTCACTCATCATACTTTGCCATCATACAGAAACATCACAATTATTGCAGGGAATATTCTCAACATGAACATAAACAAGAAAATGAAACTCAGATTATCAACACAATAGTCGGGCAACAACAATTAATAGCACTGACCCTGAACCCACTTTAGCCTACTTGTCAGTGTACTTGTAGGACCCTTAACACAGAACTTCTGAAAGTAAATATTTGCAATACACCTGAATAACATTTCATAGTGCTGCATATTAAGTATATTTCTCAGTATCTCTCAGAAAGGAGCTTGCATGGTATGATGCCATGATAACAATGATCGTGAGTGAGTGAGTGATGTGGGTTTAACGCCGCTTTTAACAGTATTCCAGTTATATCACGGCGTGTCAGCTTAATGTGGGAGGAAAGCCTGAAGTGATGCAGGTCTCAGACGTTTACCACTTCGGTGAAACCCACGAGCACGGGTATGGTGCTGACAAACCTAGAAACATAATCGGGGCGAACCGGGATTTGAACCCACAATCATAGGTTTCTGGCATGCCAGAGGGACGCAACTCTGCACAGCGAATCGCGGCGCCTTAGACGACTGGGCCACCCGTGCCCCGCCACACGATAACATGATGCCATGTTAACAATGATATATACACTGGGAAGGAAAGATGGTCTGCATTCTTCTAATGCTTTATTTTCGTCAGCACATATCCTGCCTTCTAATGTGCTTCCTGCCAAACCCTTCCGTCCCTGGGCAGTGTGTGCTATGAAGTAAGATAATCAACTTGGTCTCAACATTCAATACATCAAGACACGAACCAACTCTACAAGGGGAGTTAATCTTCAGTGGGGATACGAGATGGGTTTCCTGTAGATGCTGCAGATCTTATGCAGTAGATCGGGGGGGACCCGGAGGTCCAGCAAAGGCTGATGTTCTGGAGGCTGCATCTCCAGGAAGTCCAACAGGACCTGTGGCAACAAATTCATGTCATGATGCTATGGTCCCATAATTCACATTATGATATCAAAGGTACATATTCATTGGAGAATAATGAGTCAAGAAGACAAAATTGTTTATACAGTTGATTAAACACATTTAATAGCATTTCAACTGCTTTAGTGGTGTAGTGGATGACGTGTCTGCCTGGAGAGTGAAAGGTTGACAGTTTAATGCCTTTGGTCAAGTCATTACGAACAATGTTAAAAGGGAGTACTTGTTCGTACCCTGGCGGCTGCTCAGCATGTCCATGTTAAGCTAAGGCATGGTATCTCAGTGGGCTAGAATTATAAACCTGGCTAGAATTATAAACCTGGCACAAGTTCCGACTAGTACAAGCAGCCACACATGTGCATGCACGTCGCTCTACAAGTGTAATAATCTTGAATGCGACATTAAGCCCCATCTCATTTCGTCTCACCTAATAGCATTTCATTGTTCTATCAGAAGGTATACAGTCAAAGTTTAACTATCATATCTTTGAACAGGGTGGGGTATCACACGTCATACTTTGTCATTTCAGTCTGCGACTGTCGCCACAGCCTGAGTTTAGAAACATTCTCCTGGTCCAGTTAGACCATCTTATATACTAATCCTTAAATCTACTCACACTTCTGCCAAATTCAAGTTCAAGCCAGTAGACAGAAAAGATATTGGCATACAGTGGTCCCTCGCTACAACGCTACCAATGGGGTCCAAATAATTGGTGGGCGTTATAGACGATGAGCCGTTTAACCGAGGCCGAGGCGGGGGAGCGCGCTCGGCAAATCTCAAATCATCAATATGTGTTTATCTCACGTCACGTCAAAATAGTATATATTTTTATGGACCTAGATCTACCTGTAATATCATTCATTTATTAAATCTGTCACATATCACAATGTCTGAAATACGTATTCCATTCTAATTTATCATTTTTTATCAATAAATTAAAAAATTATTTACTATTTCCCGCGAATTTATTGAAAATAAAATTCTCGGACACACATTTCGACAACGGGTCCGCATCGAACATGTCAAAGAGCAAAATAAAGACTATTTTAAGCAAATCTTTAAATATATTATACAAAGTGATAAATAAAATCAACAAAAATATATCTAAAAGTAATCAAACTTACATCTAAGTTATTATTTCCATCGTTTCGTGCGATCGCGTGTAATGTAAGTCAAATGACATCTCGGCTTTCGTCGCCTTGAATTCTCGGCTCGGACACAACGTTTAATGCAAAAATATATGCATGAAAAATCTTTGTCACAGCTCGTAACCTAGCACGATACATTCGGGAAGTTCCATATTTTTAATATATATCGTGATTTACTGCTTAAAACGTTCAGAATAACACGATTTAACAAAAAATCTTTCGCTAACTTCTGAAATTTATCAAACACGAGCTTGGTAGTTGTTTAATATTGCGATGGGAGAGGCTCGCTAAGAAGGACAGTACCTGTGTTGTTGGGACATCCTGGCTGCTGTCGATGCCAGACTCCCGCCTGATGCTGGACACCCTCCTGCATACAGCCTTCCTGCCCTCGTCCCAGGTGCCGACACTTGGCTGTCGGGGGCCGGGCACATCTACAACATTCACAACAAGGATATGAACTTGTACCAAACCACCAGTCACGTCATCAGATGTTAAAAGTATCCCAAGCGCTGGTAGAATTTCAGGGTGCGGTGCGGTGCGGTGCGGTGCGGTGCGGTGCGGTGCGGTGCGGTGCGGTGCGGTGCGGTGCGGTGCGGTGCGGTGCGGTGCGGTGCGGTGCGGTGCGGTGCGGTGCGGTGCGGTGCGGTGCGGTGCGTGAGTGAGTGAGAGTTTCTATCACTGCCCAATACTGGGATCTGGAGGAAGTTCTGTAATCATGGTAATGGTGTTATGTCTTCAAGTAAGTTAGTGTGTGAGTTTGGTGAAAACCACTTTCAACAGTATTTCAGTGTGTCAGCTTAATGTGGGAGGAGGAAGGCATATAGTAATGCAGAACTTAGACCTTTACTACTTTGGTGACACCAGTGAGCACGGGTGTAGTGAGAAACGTAATCTGGCAAACCCATGATCATAGGTTTCTGGCAGACCTAAGGGATGCAACTCTGCGGAGTAAATTGCAGCACCAAAGTCAACTGAGCCACCTGAGTTCCTGCAAGTCTTCAAGGAGACCATAAACAAAATACAGTGATAGTTTCGAAGACATACATGACAGACTTAGCTGTCAGAGAGCTGAATAACCAGGTTGCCCTCTCGAGGTAGTGCCATTGTATAATAACTAGTCGCAGACGTAACGTGTACGCAAGACGGCTCTGCTGTCTCTTGTACGCGAGACGGGCGAGGTCCGCAGTACCCAGTGAAGCGCTTGATACTAATTAATTCAATCACTGTGGTTATCACCTGCACCTCCACGAAATCAATGAAAGTGCCATGTAAAATCATCTACTGCCGAGGGAGACCCCAACCCACCCAAGGTCGTGACTGGCGGGTCACGTGTGCATCCGCCTTCCTATCTTCACATTCCCTATTTTCGAACAGTTAAGACATGTCAACATGTCATTCTGTGCTGGATTCACTTGAAAGTGTACACGTCAAAGCTAGCGACCAGTTATCGCCATTTTTTTCATGTTATTTCTGACATATTCCGTGTATACATACTCGGACCTCGTAGTACCGCTGCATTCATCGTATCGCGGCATTTGTGATTTGTGATCTCAGGTGCTCAATTGTACGCATCCGTCTTGCGTACACGTTACGTCCTCTACTGATAACACTTAGAGTAGACACTAGAAGAATTATATGTGTCCTGAATGAATGAAGTCTCATACAGTATTTATTAAATCACAAAATATTCAGGAAAAATCAACCCCACATACTTCACTGAAGTCAACCGATTGTTCTAATGACATATAACGAACTACTAATGGTGTAAACACGCATTCTTTGGTGAGGGACTTACATAATTCCTTCACTCACCTCTACAATATGGTTCTGGCATAATGCCTTTCATCTGCTTTCTTTTAGGCTGAGCAGGTGTTCTCTTACTCTGCTTCAATTCCCTTGTCCCTCTCTCCAAATGTATTGGGATGTTCTCAATGTCAAGCTGGTCAGTTATCTCATGCATGTCACTGTCCACAGCTAGTTCTTGACTAGTTCCATCATCAGTATGTATGTCTTTGAGCTGACCACCAGGACTACTCTCTCTCACTTGTGGCTGATGAACCTTGCGAGCACCATCTCTAGATTCCTGTCGTCCTGCACCTCCAGCATGTATGTCTTTGAGCTGCCCACTAGGACTACTCTCTCTCACTTGTGGCGGATGAACCTTGCGAGCACCATCTCTAGATTCCTGTCGTCCTGCACATCTAGTTGCACCATCAGCCTCACACAACACCTGCGACCACTCCTCTTCATCCTTCTTGTTAGCTCTGCTTACACTTTGCTGTTGTTTGCCGTAACATTTTTCAGATTTCCACCCTTTGGATACACTTCCAATCAGGCCATACTTCTTAACTGCTTTTTCAAACATTATTTCAACTTCCTTCTTTTTCTTCTTCTTCCTTGGATCCTTCTCAGCATCATCTACCTCAATGACTTTGTTCTGCACCTGACCACGTTCTGGTCCTTGATCCTCTTCCTGACCTTGACTCTCAGGTACTTCCTGATGCTGTAGTTTACTCCTCTTCTTAGTCTTCTTATCAGCATCATTAACAGACTTCCCGGTACCATGTCTCCTTGTGCCAATCTTCTCCACGCTGTTTTGGGTACATTTTGGTGATATCTTGGCCTGACTTGATGCATCTCCCTCGGGACCAGGAACAACAGCTCTTGAGCTCCTCAGCTTCGGTGGAGCAACACCATCTGCATCATTATTATCTTGTTTGGAAGACCGTGTTCTTCTCGTAGTGATATACTTCTCCAGAATATTATGATATCCTTGACTGTCTGGATGATTATCAGAGGGTTTCTGTGAACCCCTCTTCCCAATGTTTGAACTCCTGAGTTCTTTGCCAGATATTGATGGTGGCTCTGCTGCTTCTGTTATCTCCTCAGCATGTTCCTCATCCTCATCCTCCACCAGGATGACGCTGTCGTCCATAGAAACATCACCCTCTGTGCGTGAAGGTCCAGCTTTCTGGCCACTGTCCACATCCATGGTGATACTGACGTCTGCTCTGATGTCTTCACCACCAGAAGCACTCTCATCTTTCGTTCCACCACTTTTAAGTGAATCTTTCCGGCTTTGGTCTTGCGTACCAACCTTACTCACATCTGAATCAGTAGAGTATTCCTCAATAACAATTTCAGAATCAGACTTTTTATCCGACAGATCTAAGTCTGATTCCTTAGCAGACTGATTCTGCTTGTCAAGTCCCGGTGATCGAACCAATTTTTCTGTTATGTTTTCCTTCAAATTATGGACCGGTTTTCTTCTGTTTCTACCCAAGGAGGTTTCAGGGTCTGATGTTGACTGCCTGGAATGGGATGACCCAGTGAAGTTCTTTTTACTTTTTGATCTTGTCAGAACCTTTGTGGTGGTGGTTTCTGGGTCAGTTTCAGGGGTGCACAATCCCTCCACTGTTTCCACGGCACCAGTATTTCCACCTTTACACTGTCCATGAGACAGGGGAATACGTTCTAGAGAATCAGATTCGTCAAAACTGGGATGATCATGCGAAGGTGACTTATGCATGAATAATTTCTGTTTTGGCTGGGAAGCAGTTTTCTCCACAGATTCTTCAGATCTTAGAGCAGAACGCTGGGATACAGCTTTGTCCACAGTTGAATGTTTCTGACTTTCTCCTTCTAGGACCACACACTCTACGACAACTGAAGTGCGCTGACTTTTAGGCAGATCTAGCGCACTGTCAAACACACTGTCGCTGCCTGATTTATCACCATTGTCTGATGAGTCTACTCTGCTATTTCTTGTCACTCTTCTAATAGGTGAAATAAGAAAGTCTGGTGTTGACTTTCTTGTCACTCCAGATGTCTGTGTGGAGTGATGGAAGGAAGTGTCATTAATAACTGTCTCACTGTATCCAGTTGAGTGCGCATCAGTCAGATGTTCAACAGAATCACAAACAACATCAGTATAGTCCTTTTGTGTACACGGGTCACTGTTACTTCTGCTCTTGTCCTCAACTGAATCAGAGACTAACAAATCCTGGCTGAAAGGCACAAATGGCTGGGACTCGGGGAAGTCAAGGTGACTTGTTGTTCGAGGTAGAGGATCTGGGGTGGACAAGTGAGATTTGGCATCTTCGTACATGGAATACGTGGAGTCGTTCACCACATCAAAGGGTTGCGTTGAACCAACCTTGTCAAGATCTAGCGAGGGGTATTTCATCACTGCAGACGGGGCAAAGGAGACTCGTCTTGTATCAGGGTGTGAACCTTTTCCTCGGCCAGCTGCAGGTTCTGTCTCCCTGGCCTGTATCTCTGACTGACAGTCCTCTGATATCGAAACCAACCTAGATGAAGCAGACAATTTCCCAGACCTGTTTCTAAGAGCCTTGGTTGACTCCTGCATGTCTGCAATGAGATCAGAGGTGCGTGACATGTCAGTGTCTCCTGCTCCATGTTCTGCATCAGTCGGTGCACCTGTCTGAGAACTCTGCGATGTCTGTGAGCTAGGACAGCTTTGTGAGCTCATCGAGATCTGTGAGTCTTGCGAGTTCTGAGAATCTTCTGGCAGGGAACAGGAAAACTCCACAGAGTCTGCACTTGACTTGTGCCAGGCCTGGAAGCAAAATACATTTCAGAATTAGTTAGTTGGGTTTAATGCAGCTTTCAAAAAGTAATTAGCGTAGTATGTCAGCATAGTCTTAAAAGAAAACCATAAATCACAGGCATAAATGTTAACAATTTGGTAACACACCAGGGATCCTGATTGGTAAGAATCTGGGATTTGAACCCACAATCAGCAGATCTTGGCAACAAAGGGACATAACTGTGCATTAAGCTGCAGCAACCAAGACAGCTTGGCGATCCGTGCCCCTTATTACATGACATTATTCTGTTTACATCCCTAACAACTGGATTAAGATATCCTACATATTATGACCCCAGAATATGTAAAGGTAATGTGTTAATATGAAAGATGCATTTTTCTTACTGTTGGCAGACTGCACAGGGTCACAACATCAATGACGCAAATATCACTGTTACATGAATCACTTTTATCAGCCATCTTGGATTTGTCAGATGAATCACTTTGATCAGCCATCTTGGATTTGTCAGATGAATCACTTTTATCAGCCATCTTGGATTTGTTAGATGAATCACTTTTATCAACCATCTTGGATTTGTCAGATGAATCACTTTTATCAACCATCTTGGATTTGTTAGATGAATCACTCCGATAACCTTTCTTGAATTTGTTAGATGAATCTAAAAACTTCATGTACTCTGCCGTGAATCCTTTCGGTGATCTATCATACTGATGCACACTGTCAGCGTTCTGCCCCACTTGCTCCTCAGGTGTATCCGTTATCCTTGACTGTCCTTGAACTTCTGCTAAAGGTATCCTCTTATCCCGTGGACTCTCATTGTTATTCAAGAACCTAGATATCCCTTTGATAGAGAAATATCCAGGTTTTGTGTTTGCTGAATTTGGTTTAAGGATGCAAACGTCTTTGGATCTGGGTGTTCCTTGACCGTCTGCTCTTTTGTTGCTATATTGGTGACATTCTGCATCAGCATCTTCCTGGACACTGTGACTGAAAGAAGCAGGTCTGGGCTGAATCTGTCTGTCTGTGATGCTAGTTTCATCTGATAGAACATCTCCCCGTTCCTGTTCACGATGACCAGCTTCACTTTCTGGTGTAGAGGAGGGCTTTGACATGTCCGTCCTTGCAGGAGACTGAGGCTTGAGGAGTTGACTCTTGTCTCGTGTTTTGCCGGAGGACTTGCACGCACCGGTGTGGTCCCTCTTCCTTGGAGATTCTGCCAGAGTGGGTTGTGAGAAGTTTGGTCTGGAGGAGTCAGAACTACTCGTGGTATCCTGGGAAGGCTGAGGGTGGTAGTCTTCTTTCCATTCTGGAAACAGAGAAAGCATAACTTAAGAATTGACTTTAATATATTAAATTTGAAGAGGTAAAAATGTAAAAAAAAAGACCAGTGTGCACACTGTGTCAATCCAACATGGAAATAAAATAATACAATCTTCACATAAATATGCAGGAGTTCCTGCTAGGGCAGTACTGAAGCACCAAACATTCAAACATACAGCATTATGCCAGTCAAGCCAATCATCAATATTAATAACTAAAGAACTACAAGGTTAACCGTAACACAATCCTCCTTGCATCCTAACAAGGGAACTTCATATTCACAATACAATAGCTTTGAATGATTGTTTGTTTGTTGTTTAATTCTCCACTCTGCATTATTCGAGCCACATGAGGGCAAAATATTGATTCTGGTTGGGACAAATCAGTGATTGATATTCAGAGCAGTGACCCATGCCTTCAGGGTTTAATGTCACATCAACCAAGTCACTGAGCCTGACAGCCCAATAAATTATGACCAGTTAGGGCTCAATTTAGCTGTGTAAAACATGCACAAGAGCAACATATTTTTGAAAAATGCACCTAATATTTATGTCTACATGCACTTGCCAAAACATTCTGAACTTGTCCACAAAAATCAATCTTTCAACACACTCAATACTTCTAAAGCTTAATATCCATACTACATCACTAATCCTTGTGTTACATGTAATTCGTCATGCTTTCATAGGTGTGACATCATCCAACTGTGGGTGCTTCAAGATGATGTGCACATGTTCCTATTACGTTTTATCATAATGCTTCATTAATTTATGTGACACTGGCAACAGACCTTGGTATGTTTCAACTTATGAGACCAGGCTGCAACCTGGTTTTCTTTGGTGCATCTTGTTTTGCATGTCAACATGCACCGGGAGCAAGTTAAATCAAGCTCCTAAAATCGAGCCTGCCAGTATAGATTGTTGGGGGCCCTGTTCTACCCAGAATGCCCGATGTCCCTGAACCATTGCAACACCAGCAGGATATAGAGGGCCCTGAGGCCAATAAGGAAAGGAATGTCTGTATCCAAATCTTTAACAATTGAAACGGTTTTCTGTCCATACCTTCCAGGGCCTCCAGGATCGCCAGCTGTTCAGGGGGGATAATCAAGTCTGCCACAGGAGTTGTCTGTTTCATCCTTGCCAAGGCTGACACCATTGTCTCCCCTGGAGGAGCTCTTGCAGACACAGCCTCACTGAGATGACCTCGTGCAGGTAATGCCTTGCTTGGTCCTGCTTCTGTAATACAGACCACATCTAATTGCTAATCCCTGCTATGCACAAGTACAAAAGAACTTTATGTCAAAGAAAGCTCGGTCTTTTACATTTAGGTTTACCAATTTCGTGAAAACACAAGCATGGGTTGGCGATGACAAACCCAGAAACATAATCAGGGTGAACTGGGATGAAAACCAACAATAAAAGGTTTCTTGCACACCCATGGGACACAACTCTGTAGAGTGAATAGCAGCATCTAAAAGAACTGGGCCACTAGTGCCCCCAGCCAGGAATTGACATTACAGGACTTTGTGTAAAATGATCAACAAGACATAATTTTTATGTTGTTTTAATATCACTCACCTAAAACTTTAGCTTACCGTATTTTCTTGTGTAAAGTGCACACTTTTTTTTCAGAAAATGAAACCGCACAGAGGGGGTTGCGCATTATACACGCCAACATAAGATTTCAGGTATTTTTCCCCCCATGGGTAAACAAAACATCCAGCATGTATACCGGAAATCAAGTGTCAACAAACTGAATAAACTACCGATACATTCGTCTGTACCCTTTTTGTATTAAAATGAACATTATTAGAATAAATGAACATTGAATACTATTATAAGAAGTATTACATATGTATATTTACTTATATTTACTTATATCGTTTTAACATAGGTCATTCAAACATGTCATTTTAGGCGAAATCCTGCGTGAGGCAATCCCACCCGCTCACCGTTATTTACAGCCTACCAACTTGACTGACGCCATCTGCGACTTGTTGTTGACGAAGAATGAATAAATATATATTATATCCACTATGTCGACCCATAATAACTTGAAATTGTTGTTATTTGTTCTGTTATAGTCAGTGTTTTGATTTTTTTCATTATGGTATAGCGTGGCTCCATCACGTGACTCAACCAAAGTCACTGATAGGTCTGACCGGTGAAAACCGTTTCATACCCTGGGATTCACCCGTGACATTATATCATGTTATATTGCAGTAAAGACAAAATGATTCTTAGACTGTTATAAATTAATTTATATTTAAAGCCATCATTCTTTTCATTTATCATTATCATATTTCAGTCATTGCATATATTTTAAGCACTTCCAAACATACATATTTTACAATCATATAATATTCACATTTAATATACATTTCTATATATACAAACAATCACTATATTGTCTCTATCACTGTTTCATAATGTTTATGAATCATTCATAAATAGCTTCATCTCCGTCAAAGCCCAGGAAGTCGCTTGCAGTGTCATTGTTGAAGATGTTGTCCATGACATTGTCAGGGATGTTGTCGGCCTAAAACACTTCCTGGACGTCTTCTTCATCATCGTCTTCGGCGAACTCTCTTACTTCATCTTCGTAAAGGATGTTATCTTCACTTCCATCCAAGGCATAAGTTATGCAACACTTGAAAGAACGGGTAACCATTTCAGCTGGGATTTCCGACCAAGCTTCAAGAATCCAGGTGCACATACGCCATAGTTCCGGGTGACGGATGCGGCCAGTTGCTGTCGTTGTTTGCTGCCCTTCTGCCATCCATTGGTTCCACTTGGATCGAAGCATGGACTTAAATGGCTTATTCAGACAGATGTCCAGTGGCTGAAGAAGACTTGTAAGCCCCCCGGGTATGATGGCGAAATCCGTCTTCATGGTTTTCAACTGTCTCTTCACTGACCGCCGACGATAGCATTGGAATGCGTCTAGCACTAGTGGGCTCTTCTGTGTACACAGGCCACCAGGTCTCCTCTCCCAAACAGTTCTGATCCAATCTTCAGTAAGGTCTCCATCGAACCACCCCTTCTCATGAACTCGGACTTCGACTCCTTTGGGAAAAGGTTAATTCTTTGGTAGAGTCTTCCTCTTAAAAATGACATAGGGTGGCAACTTGTTGCCGTCTCCCGTGACGCAGAGCATAACCGTGAAGCGGTTCTTTTCATTCCATGTTGTTCGGATGGTGACTGTCTTTTCTCCCTTGAAGCTGACCGTCTGCTGATAAGGAATGTCGAAGGTGACAGGAGTCTGGTCTGCATTTCCGATCTGGGCGGGGCTGTAATTTTCTCTCTCTCGTGACTTGATGACGAATCTCTGGAACTCTTGAAGCTTGTCTTCGAAATCAGTTGGCAGTTTCTGTGCAATGTGAGTCTTTCGTTTGATTGACAGGTCATGATGACTAATGAAGGTATGACTCCATCCAATGCTGGCCTTGAATTCACTTGGGGCGATGCCTAACTTCTTGGCGATGTCGAGGCCCTTAATGCGGATATCTGTCGTACTGATACCCACACCTGCCATCTGACGCTCCTTCACCCACTCTATCAGCTCTACCTCTACCGCGGGAAAGGTACATATATGATGGTGCTACTGAGTATCAAACGAGGTAAAATGTAAACATCTGAAACCTCTGATTAACAAATTCAACTAGTCCTACCTGGCCCACTCATCTTGTCGTCAGAGTGTATGTTGAGCTGGAAGCTCCCCTGTGTCTGAGAGTGAGTCTGTGTGTCTGGCTGTCCGATCTCCTCCAGCAACTGGCTCAGTTGACAGGTGCCAGTGTACTGGGACTCCTCATTATTGGCATCTTCGTCCTTATTTTCAGCCCTGTAATACAATAGTCACAGTCTCTAACATCTATCATTAGTGTGCAATTGAGAAAAACAGTCAAATTGAAGCAATTGCCCTGTTCTAATAAGCGCCCACGGCGATATTTGCTAATATATTGGCTAGTGAACAATCCAAATTGGCACCCCTTCCGATTGATGAATGTACAAAGGACTTATTTATTTGTGTATAATATATATACATGCACCCTTAATTATGAGCAGTTAAATTCTGGAAAATATATCTATCGTGTATAATATGCACAGATTCTTCTTTTGTGTCATTTCTGGCTGTCAGCATAAACCACGAAATTAACAATCTTTTAACTCTGTTTTTTTCTCACCAAAATTATATTCTAATAAGAGCCCCTTTTTCTAATTTTGAGAGCGCCCTGGGCGCTTATTACGTCAAATATGGTAAGTTGATTATTTCACTTAAGAATTAGTTAGTTTTTTCCTGAGATTTACAGATTCATTTTCACCAGAACACAGTACAAACTTCATCCAGTCTTACCACTACCAACACAGCAACGTCATGACATCTATGAAATGCTACATCACAAACAGACAATTGGTGGCCATCTTAAAATGTGGCAGCCATCTTGGATTTTCAGGTGACTAACATGTATTTTCTCAATATACATACCAACGGGACTTTTGAGGTGATGTTTCATGCTTGTGCCATCATTTGAACAAAACCCCAATATTTTGCACTTTATCTGCCCCACTTAACATGGTGAAGTCAAGGTATGCAACTTACATCCATTGGGTCCACTTTGCACCGACTGCCACCTGTACTTGTGGATCTTCCATGCTGAGGAAAGTAAGTTCATGCAGGTTATCTCTTGTATTTTAAAGCCAAATGCTTGGTTAACATTGCAATGGAATGGATGAAATAAGTTCCAAGTGATGGAAGCTCACATTTAGAAATCATATTTTTCATAACAACAATATCTTGTTACAATGTTTATTTTAAGAAGCCAGTGATAAATGTACTCAAAAATAAACGTGATAAAACACATTGAAAATGTTAAAATGCACAGTGGGACTTGCAAAAATACCTGAGGAAAGGTTATTATGAACCTCAATGAGTGAGTGAGTGAATGAGTGAGTTTGATTTAACGCCGCTTTTAACAGTATTCCAGTTACATCATGGCGCAACAGCTTAATCATGTTAATGTGGGAGGAAAGCCCGAAGTGATGCAGGTCTTAGGCGTTTACCGCTTCGGTGAAACCCATGAGCACGGGTATGGTGCTGACAAACCTAGAAACATAATTGGGGCGAACCGGGATTCGAACCCACAATCATTGGTTTCTGGTATGCCCAAGGGACGCAACTCTGCACAGCGAATCGCAGAGCCCCGTGCCCCCTGAACCTCAATGAAAAGAAGTGGGCATATATTCTAAATTAGAACTACATATTATCAAGCTCAGGGTGAAATGTCATTCACAAAAGCATTCATCTTGTTACATTCCAAGGAGCACACCTACACATCTTTAGCACACTTGAACACAAATACATTTCTATTCCTGCCATGCTATGTTTCTTGCGGCACGACTGTCCAAATAAGGATTTAAACAAAAAGGAGCATGTGTTCCACAGTCCATATTTGGTTACAGGTACATAGGTAAATCACCACAAAGACATGTCTATACTTTTTACACAAACTACTTTACTGGTGTAAATTGGGCATGAGGAATTTTACTTCACCAACTCCATGGAGTTCACCGTTTGTTTTGATTCCACACCAATGAATATTATTTTTGTGTCATCTGATAGCAGCCTACTGGAAATGAAATTTAGGTGGAATACAAGGCAATTTTCTAGTTGTCACGTGTTGTAGAATATGCCATTACCACATAAATCATGTGTGTGGCATCAAAAATATCACTGATCCAGTAACTATTTATCTTCCTGTGAGTGAATGAGTTTGATCAAGAAATCATAGAGAAATGTGATTTCAACCCACGACCATAGGTTTCTGGAATACCTAAGGGATGCAACCCTGCACTGTGAATTGTGGCATCTTAGATGACTGGGTTCCCTGTATAAGGCAATATCTGTGGCACGAGTATCATTATGTTAACAAGATTGTATGTTGGCTGACACTTACCAATCTCTAGCTGTGTGCTTGCTGTAAAACCCATCATGAACATCTAGCAGTGAAAACTTGCCGATGACCAGAAGAAATTCACAGTCACTCTGCAAAAATATATCAAAACATTCCTCATTACCACAAAAGGTAGTGATTTGCACACTTGCCTACATAAGATGACCTACATTAAGTCAACACAGAATCAGGGATGTGGAAACAAACAACTTGTAAACAGCTATATGTTAAACTGTCAGACAAGCACATTGTTACACCTCTGGTGTCTTTGAACAAGTTTGAAATTTCTCTAAGCAGGATTCCAAACTAAGCACCTTTAGCACCTTGAGAGGGAAAGTAATTACTTTTTAAAAAAATGTCTTTTTTCAAAGTTCTGATTTTCCTAAATTCAGAGGTATTTTAACCTTGAATTCAATGCCATAACGTTAAACTAAGCATTAGATCGTCTTCCTCTTTCTTCTTCCTGTTATCACTTGTACAAAGCCATAACATTAGCTATACCTATATCCACATAATTGCAGTCTCAGTCTAATCAGATCTTAGTGCTTGCTATCTCTACATGGTACCCCCTGCTTGGAACTATTGGTCACAAATTGCCATACACAAGCTGCAATAAATTGTGGCTATAGCATAAAAAACAAGTATTTGTCACAGAGTGACGAAATATCCCCCGCCATATACACCATAGTACCAAATATGAAGACAATCCAGCGATTAGTTCTTGAGATATTGTGGCAACACCGTTTTCCAACTCCAAAAACAGATTTGCCTGCTGTGACCTTGAAAATGGGGTCAAGGTCACCAAAACCGACTGGTGTCTGCGGTGTCTGAATATACACCATAGTTCCAAATATGAAGACAATCGAGAGGTTTAGTTCTTGAGATATTGCGGCAACACCGTTTTCTAACTCTAAAAGCAGATTTGCCTGCTGTGACCTTGAAAATGGGATCAAGGTCACCAAAACCGACTGGTGTCTGCGGAGTCTGTATATACACTATAGTTCCAAATATGAAGACAATCCAGTGTTTAGTTCTTGAGATATCGCGGCAACACCGTTTTCGAACTCCAAAAGCAGATTTGCCTGCTGTGACCTTGAAAATGGGGTCAAGGTCACCAAACCGACTGGTGTCTGCGGTGTCTGTATATACACCATAGTTCCAAATATGAAGACAATCCAGTGTTTAGTTCTTGAAATATCGCGGCAACACCGTTTTCCAACTCTAAAAGCAGATTTGTCTGCTGTGACCTTGAAAATGGGATCAAGGTCACCAAAACCGACTGGTGTCTGCGGAGTCTGTATATACACCATAGTTCCAAATATGAAGACAATCCAGTGTTTAGTTCTTGAGATATCGCGGCAACAAACAGGTGGGACGTACGGACGGACGTACGGACGTACGGACGGTCGTGAATACTATATCCCCCGCTTCGCGCTTTCGCGCGGCGGGGGATAACAAGCAACATTCAGCTTGCAAAAGTAGATATTGACAGCCCAAGGACATGTTAACATCTGTTTGATTTTCCATATCCCTGTTTAATATGGATTAAATCTCAGTGTCAGAAAACAATTACTCATTCACATTTCATCACAAAAATGTAATGAAAAAATACAAATTGGTTTCTGGCATAAGAGCAAACATATTTTACTCAACTGAAAGATCATACAATTTACTCAGGCTGAGATTTTGAGCTTGTGGCTAAAGGGAGAAAACACAGTTACATTTCTTTGGACTTCTGTAACAGGTTGTCTCCCCTTGACCAGTGGGGAAGTGAATAGTTTCATACTTACAGAGCTTGGAGCTGGCACAAACTTGAGGTGATAATCTTTGACAATCAGAATGGCTTGATCCCACTCCGGAGGTGTGCAAGACTCGTCACTATCAAAATTGGAAAAAACAACCATAAACATAAAGTCAACTTGAACTCTGACTTTGATAGGTGAGGTGAACTGGAGGTGAACATCACATTCATGGTTATTCCACATATACAGCGACGTGCATACACGTATGTGTGTATGTGTGGCAGCAGTTTAACATGAATACCTCACAGAATATTGACTTCAAGCCGACCAGTCCTTGTTTTAGCCCCTCAATGACGAGCCCGTTGCAGGGTAACAAAAAGTATAATCTCTTAACGTCTGTTAGTATGACAGTCGGGGATCGACCCACCACCTTCCACAATCCTGGCGGACACTACTACTAAACCATAGAGGCAGTCGTCTGACTTTCATAAAGAAGAAACATGCATGGTCTTAATTCTGTTTTATGTCACAGTCAGCAATACTCCAGCCATTGGACTGTACAATACTGAGTCTGGGCGCGGCAAACCAGTGGTTGATGGCATGAGCAACAGTCCATACTATCAGAGTATGATGGCACACAGTATCAACCAGGTCACACATTGCATCTTCCTTAGTCAGTGTAAGATCAAATTACAAAAAGAATGTCATTTATATTGACATAGTTTTATCACATAATGGATTGTTATGAGGGTGATCAACCAAATCTGATGGACTTGGCATCATCATCAAGCTATGCAAATGAGGTCTACTGGCAGAAAGAATAAGCTCCATACATGGATGCAATGTCTAGCTGCCCCCCAAAATATTGTCTAACATTTCCAAAGAGGCAAGATAGAAGCTTCATGATGTAGGAGTGCTCTATAAACAAACATGGCGTCAAATCATTTGGTGCTATATAATCATTGGGGGCACGGATGGCCCAGTCGTCTAAGGCGACGCATTTCGCTGTGCAGAATTGCGTCCCTTGGGCACACCAGAAACCTATGATTGTGGGTTTGAATCCCGGTTCGCCCTCATTATGTTTCTATGTTTGTCAGCACCATACCCGTGCTCGTGGATTTCACCAAAGTGGTCAACGTCTGACACCTGCATCACTTCGGGCTTTCCTGCCACATTTTCCTGACACGCCGCGATAAAACTGGAAAACTGTTAAAAGCTGCGTTAAACGCAACTCACTCACTATATGATCATGAGCATAACTGGACAGTTGACCCAGGCATGGTGTTAATTCACGGTTTCTAAAACTACCTTAATTATTTTAAGAATGACATTAAATAACAAAAAAATAATTAGCCATGTGTTGTTCATATTGTAAATTTCATATATTTGAAAAGGTTCGCTTAAAACACTTCTTATTATTAACATATGATATTCTTGCATGAAAAAGATTCAACTAAAAATCTCATCCAGATAAAAACAAGTGGAAGTAAACTGATGCCAGGAACCTACTCAAAGTTGTAGTTGTCAATGGCTTCTTGTGTAAAAACTGCATTGATGAAGACAGAACAGTCGGAGACTTGCTTGACTACACTCCCATCATCCAGGGGTCCAGTGACATGCTGGAAATAGGATCAGTGGTTACATTCTTGGTCAGTTGTTACCCAGTTACATTGTTTATCACAGTAACAACAAATATTCAACCTTTATTAAACAATCAGCTCTAATTAAACTAAAATAAATAAATCTGTATCAACCAACTGTCTTACACACATAGTGTTACATATCGCTGTTTTGTTCCACTCCTAATGGTACTTTCTCTTAGACAGTGTTGCTGGGTTGCAACCTAGACAAACAAGAGTTATCAGAAAATGACAAATCCCCCCGACACACAGCAAATGGTACCACTTCAGCCCTGGACCTGTGAAGATCCGGGTTACAAGAGGTCCTCAGCAACCCATGCTTGGCGTAAAAAGTGACTATGCTTGTCGCAAGAGGCGACTAACGGGATCGGGTGGTCAGCCTTGCTGACTTGGTTGATGCATGTCATCGTATCCCAATTTTGTGGATCCATGCTCATGATGTTTGGTTATGTATGGTAATGTCAGAGGGTTCGAAAGGAGTTTGCTTATCTCAAAGAGTTTTAGCAGAGAGCAATTGATATGTTTTGTCAAGACTGGGTGTCGACAATGTGGATGGTACAGATTGCTTAAAATGTAAATAGAATCAGAAAGATAACTGTCAATAAGTGGAAAACTGATCTCATAAGTTAAAGACTTTGTTTAACAGAAATAATGATTAATGTTGGATGGGAACAGTTGGACAAATTACAATTAAATAAGCCAGACATTTAGGAGTTTGTCCTGTACGTATGCCTGACACTGAAGACACTATTCCAGAAAACTTCTTGCATAATCACAATATACTGATGCTTGTTTAAACTCCTGACTTCAGACAATAAGTCAATCCAGGTCAAACTAGCTCAGAAACCATTAACTCATTACTGATGTTAGTCCATCATGTTCACAATATCATTGCGTAATGTACTGTATTGGGATGTCACGATACAGGTGACACATGATACGATACATATCCCGATACAGAAGCCACAATATGTATCTTCAAAATGCATGTACAAAATTTTGTGTTGAAAACCCAGTCATTAGTCTGAGCATAGAGTCCATAGACTTGCTCATAAAGGACAACTGATAACACACTAATACCCATCAAGTCAACTATTCAGAATGAGAAAATAATAAGAAAAAACAAGTTTATGTACTATATTGTGATCCATACTTGTATCGAGAAGTAAAAAATATACATCCTCGATGCATCAAGGTACTATCAAAAGTATCCATATTTTATTTAAACGCAAATACCTCCATAAACATATTGGAGTCAATTCTCAAACATAAATATGTCAGCAATAATAACTTCACAGACTGCTTATGTAATCATTAACACAACAAAACGAAACTGGTGCAATAATGCACTACAATCTCTATTATCAGGAAACCCTAGGACTTCTGTCTGTGGGCATGGCCTATTTACATTTTATTTTTGGGAAGGGGGTCATCGAAACAGGGTAAAAGCTAAAACGGCAACTCAGCAAAACATCACCCAGCAAAAACAGTCCAACTGGAAAAAACGTCACCTTGTCTAAAGCAAAAACGGCTAATATCTGCCGGGCGAAAACTGTAACTTATTATTTTTTTACCTTGGAGCTGAAATACATAAAATTAAACTCACATGGTCACTTGCAAACACAAATAATTATGAAATGTTAAAACAAGTTTAAATTAGAAACTTTTTTTTACTTGCAGACTGATAAGGAGCAACTAAACTTATTGTGAAAACATTACATGCTTTGAAGTAAAATAATTGAAATTAGACTCACATAGTCACTTGAAAACAAATAATTGTGAAATGTTTATTGCCTTAAAACAAGTTTACATTAGAAATTAGCCTCCATTCCAATTTACTCACCGACTCTGATTGGGAGGTGCAACTTAACTTATTAAGAAAACATCAAATAGTTTGACGTTTTAATTACCTTTACTCAAATCAACTCGATGTCAAGCTGAAACTGAGTCTGGCGGAAATGTCAAGAAATTGGACTACAGGTATACGATATATTTAATATTTATTTTAGTAAGCAGGAAATAAATAGTAATTTCATAAATATTTTATAAATGTCTCCCATTTCTGCCTGCAGCCGACATCACAAGAATGTTTCCACAGATAACAGACTGTGTCCCCGTCCAAGATAAACAATACTACAACATAACATAATAAAGCATGTAAATGAAACATATATACATCTATATAAAGCATTCTTATGGTTTGTAAAAATGGAGGTGCCGTTTCCGCCCGACAATTAGTAGCCGTTTTCGCCAAATGAGGTGACGTTTTTGCCCGAGAAATCGGTGATGTTTTGCTGAGGACAGAGGTGCCGTTTTAGCCTGCACCCGTTGATAAAAGAAACTGTTGTTAGCCAATCAAATGTCATAGAAACACTACCGATATATTTACGTAAATGTATGTTGAATGGCTAAATAGAGTTTAATATGTACCAAATAATAAATATGCATATCATATGGTGCTAAAGTTTACACCAGCGAAATCTGGTGTAGTACAGCCAGTTTGGTGCCGTTTTAATCTGATCCCTTTTTGAAGGTTGCATTAGTGCTTTTCATGCGAAATATCTAGTGTATACGATAGGAACCCCCCAGTTAAGCAGTTTTAGCTTGTGGTTATGATCGAAAACATGGTACGCATGAAATGTAGCCTAATTGACGAAAGTCGTACCATTTTTCTGATAAACAAAATATCGAAATTTACCAACCCTGCATACTTTGACAGTTTGTCCTTTTGGGTTTAAATTTTTTCCAAGAACAAAGTCCAAAATCCAGGATTTCTCGTTAGTAGGTTCGGTTGATTTATTTGAGGAGAAGCCGAACATTTTTAAACGAAACATGTTGACGAGCAAAATACAAACTCCAACTTCCCGCCATCTTGTCGTATGATGTAATCTCAAAGAAGCTGCTTATGTTAGCTTACAATACATATGTTTGTGGCATATGTAAATGGTGAATATTCGTAACACTTATTTTCAAAGGTATTACAGAGAGTTAACATTTATTCTGTCATTTGACAAGAGAGAGGACAATGGTGTATTTACTCATACGAACAACTGGATTGAGATTAACCAAGTTATTCGGAATATGTCGTCTGTGTCCGTCACGTCCCACGTAAATTTACGGGAACGACTTCTATTGTACTATTAGCCTAACAATGTATAATCTAGTCGCTTTCTGTAGTCTGAAGTGTGACTTAAGTTGTTTTAGAAGTTAGTTATCCCACCAATTTACGACATGAATTATGATTACACTGCGACTTAGTTCAAACTATTTTTTAGATTTGCACTAATAGTGAGCGAAAATGAATAAATGGTGATGAAGCGTGTTACGTTATGACATATTTTTTGTCACATCAATATACAAACTACATAATCTGACATTTCGTCCTGTAAACTTCACAGACAGCTCGGAACACGTTCGCTTCAAATGGAGCTTTAAGAACTTTAAAATAATATAGGCATCCAGAAACTATTACTTAAATGCACCTTTATTTCTCTCCCACCCACCTCTCCTCCTCCCCCACTCCCTCCCTCAATTATTAATATATGTTTGAAAGCACATGCATTTACCTAATCCCGGATTCACGCGAGCCTTGAAGTGACTAATCTATCGATAATCCTTTCATAAAAAAAACACCAACTAATATATAGTCAATCTCGTAGTTTGGAAATTTTGAGCCTTGTACAGTATCAGTTTCCTTACATTTTCTAGTCATATTTCACCCATTAACATTAAATCAATGGTGTTCTGAAATCATACAAACACATGATCATTGGTGAACACAGCATACATTGAATATCAACCGAAGGCCTGGGCGAGTTTAAGTAATAATACTAGTCGTAAGGTTAACCGTATATCATAGGGCAGCCCTTCCCTGACGTCAAGCTTGTTAGTCACTGCATTACTGGATCGTAACTGGGTCATTTGTGGAGAATTTCGGATTAGAATTTCATTAAACTGTGGTGATTTGCCGAAACGTATGCCCTGATGTAGGGCTTGCATCTGAATTATGGCGAAAAGTACCAAGTCAGGTGCCAGAATCGAAAATGGAAAAGTAGAAGTGAAAAGCAAGGTAAGGACTGAACGAAAACCTGCACAGGTGCGAGTCTTCAAAGCCGAAGGGAGGACGGTCGCATGCCTGCCTCCCCGGCATGTCAACAAATATTCAGGTGCTGAATCTATTCAGCCGGTCGGGCTCCGTTAGAATCGACAGTTATGTCATGATATGTATGGCAGTTTCAGATTAATATGTCTTCTAGCTTTGTTAAACGGCTGACACAAAGTCGACATCGTTTTTGACAGGAATCCTCATTTTCACTTCCAGGTCAGGAACGTGTCAGGTAACAACAATCTCAACCTGATTTCGTTGTATGGAGATGTAGAATAACGTATTCTTCAGGTTTTGAACTGTGAGAGTATTTGTGCTGATTACTTTCGAAAATTCTCTCCACGAAAATGTCAGTTGTCAGGCAATACCCCATCCTCTATTATTTTGTTTGTTGACATGTTTTGTGGTTTGGTAAACATCAGCACAACTTGAAGGTCTGGAGGATAATACTTTCCCTGTCAAATGGGAAAGACCCAATATGACAGAACAATATTACACATGCATGTAATAATTTCATTTTTCGAACCAGTTTTACTGGACAATATAAGACAAATAGTAATTTCTATGTAAAAAGGTTGGTAGTGACATGATGAATCATTGGACTGGGTGGGTCACTTCAATGAAACCACTTTATGCCAGAAACCATTAAGTATGTTATAAAAGCTCAGATATATGTGTTAAACTGTTTGCAAGTACATAAGTATTGTTAACCATTTTTTCATCCACTTGTGGGGATTCCAGGTAAGAATATAGGTTCCCAGAACCTATGCTTATCGTAAGCATGGTAAGAGGCAACTAAATGGATCGGGGTTGTGTGGCTCGTTGACTTGGTTGATTGCATGTCATTGTATCCCAAATGCGTGGATCAGTGTTCATGATGTCAAAACACAAGATTGTCTGGTCCAGACTTGATTATTTACAGACTGATGATGTATTGCTGGAATAGTGCTGAGTGTTAAACAATGATCACAATTAATAATTGATCATGAGCAGAAATGAAAGGGGTTCTGTGGATCCTTGTGGTTTCTTTTCTGGTATTTTAGTCTGGACAACTCTTCAGCTCTTATGAAAATGACTGATTCTTAATTTCATCTCATGATGAGCTTTATTTTGTCATATTATTAACTGAAATTGATTTATGTAAGGTTGCCTTAGTGTATTAGCACATAAGATGGGAGTTTCCATTTCAAACACTCTGAGTAATCTGACCCTGACCAAGTAATGTCTCCATCAAATTGTTAAGTCAGCAGGGTGCAGAGCAATTAGTGAAAGATGATAGGTATCTCACCTGGACAAATTAACATGCCCAGCAGGTGATCTAATTAACCAGATTGTTTATTGAAAGTGATTAGCAGTACAATTTGCAGTGTGTCCTCTATTTGATAGAAACATTTTAATTGCCTATAAACAAAGAAGTCAGAACATTCATAGTGATGTTGTTGTATCTATCATTGTCAACAATGAAAGTTATCCCTTTTATTATCGCGTTGGTCTTATTCAGTTTAAAGACGACTTTAACAATTTGTTTATGAAATAGGTTAACAGATCATAAACACAAAGTTTGTTCACTTAATTATGGTTTCAAGACTCAGGACATTATTTCAACATGTTGTACAGCTGAAGTTCCCGTACTTTAATTTGTTACACATGCTTTCATGTGCAAGTGTGCAATCTACTCAACAAATTTCACCCGATAAGTATTTCCCATGGGGCACGCTGGTAATGAAGATTGTGCACATGTCTAGACAGCCTTTGGATCCCTGCTCTTGTGATGTATGGGACTAATTAATTACTGGTGTTTATGGAGTGTGTAATGACCATAATCTCTGGCCTGGTATTGTATAGCCCCAGAGGGAACAGCAAGAAATATCTCTACCTCTGCCATTGTCTTTCTCTGCCCTCAGGGGGTCAGAGCAACCTTGACATGGAGAGGGAGGGGTGGGTGGTATTGTTCAAGTGTGGTATTTTAAGCTGTGTGGCCACAGAGGCCATTCACTGGCAGTGACATCTTGAACGTATTAATGATATTTTGTTGAATTTGAAATTGGAATCAAGTTTTTGATACACGCAAAATTCATTATTGCCATTGTAAACAATTGGAAAGAGAATTAATAACCATGGTAACATATGTTATAATAACATATTTAAATCATTCCCATTTTTTGAGTTGTGAACAAACCATAACAAAATCTTAGTTAATATTTTTTTATGTAGTATACATCACACAGATAAAGTCATTCATAATGATTTTTTTAATATTGGTGAACACTGACAGACACTCTTTAACTGCATGCATTAAGTTATAAAAAAACAACTTACTTTAATTAATAAAAGTACACTATATACTAATGTTTCAACATATTTCTAAATAACCCTTACTCAAGCACATGAGCTGTATATGATGTTATTATATCAACATGTACTAGAGCACAATTGTCAGTACAAAAAGTGTCTTTATCTCAAAATGACCGCCTCTGTGGTCTAGTGTTAGAGCGTCCGCTGGAGAACGGAAGGCCTGGGGTTCAATCCCCGACCGCGTCATACCAAAAGATGTTTAGGGATGGTACTTGTTGTTACCCTGTCTGGCGCCCGGCATTAAGGGGCTAAAACAAGGACTGGTTGGCTCGGATTCAGTATAGTGTGTCTGAATGGGGTATTCATGTTAAGCTGTGACATGGTATCTCAGTGGGCTAGCACTATAAAATCAGCACCAGTCCCGAACTAGTACAAATGCACACGCATGTGTAATAATCTTGGACGCATCGTTAAACTCCATTTCACCTCACCCTTATCTAAAATTAACAAGTCACACATGAACTGTGAGTGTTCTCAGTGTCACTTTGGGCCTGGCTCAGGAGCACTGTCGCCAGGGCCTCGTTCAGGAGCACTGTCGCCAGGCATCTAAGGTTCAGTAAAGGGGTGGTGATCTGGTCTTGGTGGATCCTTCTGGGCTGAAGTGGTGTCACTGGCCCAGTAAATTGTGCCATTTGTGGTTGGTCCTTAGAAGTGGCAATGTAGGCTGAGCGCTGAAACTCAACACACTTCCAATAGACTTTCTCTCTTCTCCAACGGTTAAGACGGAACTTGTTCTTATGAAGGAACATGTGTCTTCCTCCTCAAATATTCTCAATGAACTAAACTTATAGATTCAGAAGCTAATGATGTATTCACTGTGTGCCATTGATATATATGGTAACAAATTTAAACGAATGTCGTCTTATGTCAAATTGAAATAACAAGAAACATAGGTTTTCTCAACACATACACCAACATATTTAACACCAAAATTTTTCATCTGCTTTCACAGTAAATGCTCACTTGGAATACAAATAATTTAATTAGATTTTCTCAATATCAAGTAACCTTTGCTTTGAAATATAATCATGATTAATGTTTATAAAGTAAATTATCCTCATCCATGCAGTCTACCCTTGAGTAATATGCTAACACTAAAAAATTAATTGTATATTAGTTTTACCAGAAGCGTTTGCTGCTGACATCGAATTCCCAGTGAATCTGGAGTAATAGATATAGCCTACATTTATCAAGGATCACTGAATCATGTCATACACCAATTGAAAGGTCAAATCATACTGTTGACAAATATGATAGTTATTTCTATATTATTTAAATAATGCTTTTCAATTTAATTAAGTTTGTTTTCAATAAAAATGTAAGCGTAATGTCCAGATTAATCACAGAGGAAGTGTAAATTGTGACGATTGTGACAACATTTGTAACATTTCAGAATATCCACTTAACAGTAGCTATTTTTGTTATTTTCATTGTTTATGTAATTGGAAAATTATTACATAAAAAATTAAAAAGAATATCTATCATCACCTATTTCCCGATAACAGTGGCTTTCTGCTCTACATGAGCAAATACCTGTTTTCAAAGCTTTGTATGAATAACACTTGTGAAGATTCCTTTGATGTTTGTATTGTTTAAAGCTCTGAACATCCATAATTACTGTAACCTTGCCAAAGGTATGTTAGAAGTTGTAACATGTTTTTATTGGATAGTAATTGTTTGTTTTCTGTAATCTGCTATGAGGATCATGATTAGTCAAATTCAAGCACGTGACCTAAGACAGCTAATCAAATTACAACAATAGATACCTTCCTCATGTATAACTTTCAGATTTAGACAAAAGATTTTGCTCATGAAACCATGACCTATATTTAAAATATTCAACTTTTGACTTGTTACACCTTTTACATTCTGGGCCAGAATGTTATTAAGTCCCTTGTACCCTATGCTTGTTGTGAAATCCAGTTGATGAGGATGAGATGGTTTCAGTGTGCGACTTTGTTGATCATCACTATACCCCGTGCTTGGTGTGAGAGCCAATTGATGAGGATCAGGTGGTTTTAGTGTGCGACTTTGTTGATCATCACTATACCCCATGCTTGGTGTGAGAGCCAATTGAGGAGGATCAGATGGTTTTAGTGTGCGACTTTGTTGATCATCACTATACCCCATGCTTGGTGTGTGAGCCAATTGAGAAGGATCAGATGGTTTTAGTGTGCGACTTTGTTGATCATCACTATTACCCCATGCTTGGTGTGTGAGCCAATTGAGGAGGATCAGATGGTTTTAGTGTGCGACTTTGTTGATCATTACTGTTACCCCATGCTTGGTGTGAGAGCCAATTGATGAGGATCAGGTGGTTTTAGTGTGCGACTTTGTTGATCATCACTATTACCCCATGCTTGGTGTGTTAGCCAATTGAGGAGGTTCTGATGGTTTCAGTGTGCGACTTTGTTGATCATCACTATTACCCCAATGCTTGGTGTGTTAGCCAATTGAGGAGGTTCTGATGGTTTCAGTGTGCGACTTTGTTGATCATCACTATACCCTGTGCTTGGTGTGAGAGCCAACTGATGAGGATCAGATGGTTATTAGTGTGAGAGGTTGTTGATCATTGCTATGCCCTGTGCTTGGTGTGAGAGCCAACTGATGAGGATCAGATGGTTTTAATGTGTTAGTGTGGGACCTGGGTGATCATCCCAATACCTGTGTTTGTTGTGAGATCAAATTTGTGTAGGATCAGATTGTTTCAGTGGATGACCTGGGTGACCTGGTTTAGAAAAGCAGCATTAGAAATCGGCACTAGTCCTATAGTCCTTGCCAAACTGCCCGATAGTTAAGGTATCATAAGGACTAGTAGAAATTTGCCCTTTTAAAGGGTTTTGCTATATGTTATCATTATAGGGACATTAGACTAAAACTGTTAGTTTCTATCGCTGTAAAAGCCAATTGATGAAGATTAGATGGTATCAGTGTTACCAGGCTGATCACGCTGATTGTTGTTGTACCCCACTGATACCGATCAAACACTGTTCCAGTCTCCCATTAGTTTACAGGCAGTGATCATGGTAATATAAGTGGAATATTGCTGATTGTGGCATTTTAATATAAGAAGGATGTTGAAGTTGAACTCACTTATTCACTTAATGATGGGAATCTCTCACTCAAAGTTATTTCTTCTGAGATAGACCTGCTCAGAGGCCGTTATTCGGCCCGTAAGTCTGCCGAAAATGGCTGTAACAATTCCCAATTTGTATTTTCCAATTCCTCAGAATTTACGAAAATAAGAACATTAAAAAACTCCACTTTTGAACAATATCACAATGTTATCACATTTTGAAAATCTCAAGGACCCTCAGGAAGACCCTTTATTTAAATCACTGGTCTATGTTTCTAAAGATTTATGTTTGGAGATTTACAACATGAGTGGTTATTACAGGGACTTGAATATTTCAAAAACCTTATTTTCTCTGCTGTTTCAGTTCGATGCTGAGTTTCGGAGATTCTGCGTGAGTCGTGACCCAGCTGATGGATTTGAGAAGTTTCAGTCCCGGGTGGAGAAACTCCATCAGCTGGAAGACATTCCATTTGTGATTAATTACACAGACCCCGTCCATGGAGACCTCCTCCCCATCAACAATGACATCAACTTCTCCAAGGCAGTCACAACAGCAAAGCCACTACTCAGGCTTCTGCTACAACGCAAAGGTAATCTCATCCTTGATTGATTGGACGAGTACACACCTATCAGGGTTTATGCAAGAAATAGAAAGTCTTGCCTTAACTCCCTGTGACATGCAACATTTGTTTGATAAGGCAACAATAATAAGGGACAGTTTCCCCCCCCCCCCCCCCCCAAAAAAAACAAGAAAAACCAAACAAACAAAATGTAATAAATAAAATGTTGAATTTCTGGGTTTAGTGGTTTCTTTTGTCACACATTCTCGTGTACTGCCCTGTTTTTCGGAACATCTATCGAAAAAGTTGATTTATGAGGTGTTAATCATTTGTAGGGTTTTTACAGATGGAATCTGTCATCATATATTACGCACTGCACTAGATGTACTTTTGCCAGCGATGATAAAACCCTACCTTGTGGAAACACAGGATGTATTCGATGACAACTAACAGTATATGAATGAAAATAGGATCAGTTTAGTTCAGTAACTGAGTAATCAGGTAAATTGATTTTGTCAGATGGAAAATTGCAGGGCCATTCACACTTCAGGTGTATTTGAACCCCATGTTCCCTAGGTGGTGGGCTGTGTACTATAACACTCTGAGTAAGCTTGTGTGTGTTGTTATTATTATTGTTCCAAATCATGATGTTTCTTATAACGACATCCCAATAACAAATGTAAAGCACAGATTTTGATTTTCCGGAACGAATAGTTTCCCCAAGTCCCCAAATCACTAATCATGGTGGGACACCAATCCTTGCTCTCCTTGTTTCCTGCAGCATGTCAATCTTTGTTCAACTGAAACAGGTTTATCATGGTTTTTTGTGCTTCTTACCCTGTCAGTATCTGAAAACACATCCAGATTGACAAGCCTTTACTTTGATAAACAGGCGTTGGGGATAAATTAACAAGTGTACATTGTATGGAAAGTGGCAAGTATTTTGTTGAGGCTTCCAATTGTGATGCATTTTGACAGTAATGTGGACTCAGCAACGGGGAAAGTATATATACTGCTGCTATTTATAAATAGAAGCTGTCTGCATGTCAGATGAGGATAGTCTGGAAGTTGTCCAGAAGCATGAAAGCTGAACAAGTTGCATGTGTTCATTGTCGTATATGTATTTACAGTTATATTGGCATGATTAGTGTTCAGAGGATCAGTGTGTACAGTAAACTACAGTTATAACGAACTCAAAGGGACCACTAATTTTGGTTTGTTATAACTGTAGCTCGTTATAAGCATTTCGACTGAATTTCCTCTCTCTTGTCGTCACATTTTATTGACAGCATATATCCACTTCAAAGGCTACAGCCTATTCAATTTTTTACTGTTGTTAATTGAGTGTGTAAAATGAGGACAAGGTGTCAGTACTTAATCCAGTTAATCACTTGTCTTCAATAGTTTATTGCTGCTTTCAACAGCCATGCTTGGTCGCGGATGTTTTGATAGGCTGATTGGTGACAAGTCAGTTCGTTATAAACACAAGCATTGTCATAGGCAGAGTGCACACGGGACCTCAAAGTGAGTTCGCTCTATCCTTTATTTCTTTATAAGTGTGTTTGTTATATCCATTCATTTTTATATAATAAAATGTACATCCAGTGACCAGGACCAAAAAAAACAGTTTGTTATGTCAGTCAGTTCGTTATGTATATAGTTTACTGTATTATAAACATTTACTGTATTACAAACATTGTGACCCGTGAAGATCCGGGGTAGAATAGGTCTTCAGCAACCAATGCTTGCCGTAAAAAGCGATTAACGGGATCGGTGGTCAGGCTCATTGACTTGGTTGATGCATGTCATCGATCCCAATTGCGTGGATCTGGTCTGGTCCCAACTCGATTATTTACAGACCGCCGCCATATAGCTGGAATATTGCTGAGTGCGGCGTAAAACAACAAACCAAAACAAACATTGTACTTGATACAGATATGTTGAGTCAGTGCTTCACACTCACCTTCTGAATTTGTATCTATTGATCATATATATTGTGACACGTTGAACATGTAGATTAATCATTTTTCTCAATTAAATATGTACAGTCGATGGTTTTATTGGTATAGGCTTGCCAATCAACTATCAATGATAATTAATATTATTCGAACATCATAAGCCAGCCAATCTGGAATTTTAGGTAAATAAATCCAGATATACTTTGACATGTAAGTTTGAGAGTAACTAGTGTAATATATGGGTGTGTGTATGTGTGGATAACTGATAATTTGCAGGGCTATCATGATACATGTTGGCTTGGTATCTTTGTAATCTTGTTCCTCCTAAAGTCTCAGCGGGCGCATGTTACAATTTAAGAACTTCTTCACAGCTACAGACTGTAAATGCTAGAACAGTTAACCACCACAAATCATTTTTACCAGACACAGTGCGTATTTGGAATGAATTACCGGATAATGCTCAGTCAAAACATACTGTAAATGACTTCACTAAATGTATCACCACAACAGAAAATACTAAAATATTTGTCTTTAACTTAGACTATGGTACCCGTTTCTGTCAAGATAACCATTGCAGCCTCAGATTAGGATTAGGATTATAAATGCACACAAATATCATAGACATATTCATGATTCTACTACCTGCTCCTGTGGATATCATTATGAGGATCCTACACATTACTTCTTTTCATGTCGCAACCACTGCAATCTTCGGAACAATATGTACTACTATATAAAGGGATATGACTTGGATCCAGTATTATGTGGAAATGCTACAACATCCACTGATACTAACCTTGCTATTACAATCTGTCCATTTGTTCATTGCAAAATCTAAAAGATTTAAAATCTAAATATGTCTTCTTAACGATTACATCAATCAAATAGTTGTTTGTATGTGTGATATGCTGTTTGTTTATGTACCGATACATGTATGTGTGTGTTTGTGTGTGACTTGTATATCATCATAATATTTGCAACAGTAGGTAGAATTAATCTAAATTTATTGTTTTATATACAGTTTACTCTCATTAATTGTTAAATGTCCTTTGTAGGGAGAGGTGTTTAAAATAGGTTGAACCTGTTCACCGATCCAATTGTTTAAATCATAAGGTTCATCTCAATAGTAAGGTTGAAATATGATACAAAATTCATGAAAATTTGACACTAATATGTTGAAGATAGAGAATCATATTCCATTATCCAAGGGAATTAATATGTTGAGCACACAGTCAGTAATCTGTCGGCAAGAAATTCAGTAGTACGTTAGTTTTATGACAAATGTTTTAATCATGTTATGTGCCATCCTTGCATTCATATATATATTTTTGAAACAATATCTGGCCTCATGATCAAATACTCAAAACATCAAGGAATGTTTGTCTTTAACCCTGTTGTAAAATGTCCCCTCCCCCCATAATGTTGAACACTGTTGACACAAAGTACGACAATGTACTAATACTTCCAAATGTTTAGTGAATTTATTACAGTCTTAATCAATTGAAGGTAATCCATATACACTACAGTTCTGACTGTGTAATGTGCCTTAGAATTCTGACCCGTGAAGATCCGGGATAGAATAGGTCTTCACCAACCCATGCTTGCCGTAAAAGGTGCCTATGCTTGTCGTAAGCATGTCATCAATCCCAATTGCATGGATCGATGTTAAGGATATCAATCACTGGATTGTCTGGTCCAGGCTTGATTATTTACAGACCGCCGTCATATAGCTGGAATATTGCTGAAGACGGCGTAAAACAACAAACCAACCAACCAAACCAAGCCTTAGAATTCTTCAGATTTTGCGTAAATGCGGAGTTGTTGATAATGTCAATTATTCATTCAGAACCCCAAGTGTAGTCCTGCACCATTACTATGGAATATCTGCATTTAGTTTAGTAAAGACCAGTTTACATTATTCAGAGTTTTAGATTGGTTCATTTTCTGGAACATGGACTGATTGGGAATCTAAATGTCTTGAAGATATTTTTCAAATGTTTTTGAATATCCTATATCTTTGCTAAAGTCAGGAAAATTTCCTGATGCTATTTGTGTCAAGCAAAGTCACTATTATCAAAATTGGCAAGTCTAGGTATTATAGCTGTATGAAATTAGCATAATAGTAAAAAGGTAGAAGAGTATTAAAGTATTAAGTATTAAAAATTTCATAGGCTATATGTTAGTCTATCTTGAAGCTGTGTGTAAAAATATATTTTGATCATTTTATATGGTACCGGGGCGTATCACCTTCCATAACCGATAATGTCAAATCCCTTCAGCTGTCATAATGTGAAGTTCAGTGTTTGTTTGGATAGCAGCTTTGATTGTATCAGGATGAAATTGAGGTCAGAAATGTGAAATATTTTTCCGCTGATTACATGTAAGTTCTGTTTGAGTGATTACAGGTGTGAAATACCACAAATATCCTCATTATGACGCAACACTGATTTATTATGATCAAGTCAAAAGCTCGGGAATAAAACCAGATTTTACAGAATCTGGTCTTTGTTATAACCTGTACATTAAATGTGACTTGGGTATTATTTCTCAGGAGAGGTAGGAGAAGCATGACTATGTACCTTAAAATTTACATCCCTATCTGTTGTGTTGAGTAGGAAGTTCATACATTTGTTGATATATTGGCATTATGTTACCTGAAGGTTGTGTTTATCTATACATCCCTAACACCTGTTGTCATGCCAACACATCTATAGTGAGTGACAGATTGTACAGTGCAGAGTTTGGACTAGTCAGTATGTTATTCAGTTCATTCCTGTTATCTGGGTGTTGACTTCAGAATGCCCATCTCAAATTTTCTACCTATTCTTTGTGTGATTGTACAGGTGTATATTTTTGTATTTGATTAGTATCAATATGCACTTTTCTAATCCATAGCTTGTTTGTGGTGTTTCTTAACAAGTAAAAGATACATTTTGGACAGGTGTTTGAAATAATTTTAAAGCCCAACAAGACAGTCGGGCAGGTGACCCATAAGTATTGCCTGGCCATCTTTAAAGTTACCCGCCCACATTCAGAAATGACAAAAATTGAAAAATCACAAAAAATAAGTGA